GCGAATCTCGATCATCGGCAGAGGGATGGTGTTCGGTGGATCATCGCGACTCTGATAGTTTCGCGGTCGGCAATGCGTTCTAAAAAATAAGGTCGAGTCGACGGGACCGCGCGATACGTAATTCGTCCTAGAGAGTATCGTGTGTCGCGATTTCTCACGCTGCTACTCGCTTCCGATCGACGATCGAGCGAACCGTGGTGGTGAACGCGCAGTAAACCGTATAGGTTCTAATACGCGTCGTATCGGTCGATCGTTGGAAATTCGAGCGAGACCGCGGTGAGCACAGGTGCGCGCGGGACGATCCATCGTGCTGGCAGATGGGAGGATCGATTTTCATGCCTGGTGTCCCGAAGAAAAGTGTCGCGGCGCAGATGCACGCAATCGCGATAACGTGAATCGCGGTTAGGAGCCAGGTTACAGCGATTCGATCTACTTGTTCCCAAAACGAATTGTACGTCGTAACCGACGTCGAATAGATCGGCGACAGATGTTTACCACGAATCGACTACTTTAACAAGGATCAATCGATCGCCACCGGGTTAACTTGGTTCAAATTGGTAGATCGAATCTGCCTGCGTATGTATATCCGTGGTAGCGGCGACGATGCGGATCGACCGTTTGCTCGCTCACTCAATGGAAAGACCGTGAACGGAAAGTCTGAAGCCGGCGCGGATCGAGACACAATATAAACAGCGAACCCTTCATCGAGACACCGCAAAGGTGCCATCAAAGAGAAGATGAATCGCGTTATGCGCGGAAGAAGGCTGCGGGGAAACAAGTTCGATTTTCGTTAGAAGAGAGGAAGAGAGAGAGAGAGAGAGAGAGAGAGAGAGAGAGAGAGAGAGAGATATAGAGAGAAGAGCCGAGAGATTTACAACGTTCAGAGTCTCCGGCCGCAACCGTCTTATGAAACTATTTTTAGGCGTTTTTAGGGCCTTTCGAATTTAGGCCAGGTTTCTGAGAAATCGGAGGAACGGACGTGCGACGATGATAACGTACGACTCGCATCCACGCCGATGACCGCGTTTTATCCACCTAGCCAGACAGTCTGCGATTAGTAGGGTGAGCGAGTGATACTAATTTCGTAGACCGAGCGGACGACGGACTTCACGGTCCGCGTTCCGATCCTCTGCGCAGCCGTTTCCATCCTCGGCGTTGTCCAGGGAACGTAACTAACGGTATATACGCCGCGATACGCGAGACATTATTACATAAAATGCATTCGTATGAAAATCCTTGGTCGACATACGACGACGACGACTTCTGCACGCAGCCAACGGTAGCAACGGTCACACCGTCGACCGGGTCGAAACTTCGATTCGAGCGAAATCGCTAGCGATCATCGCCTGATCGATAAATATGATCGTAGAAATGTTTGTTGTGGGCGAACCGTTCGTAAAATTTTGATCAGCAGGCATTTATCAGTTCACGGTTCACGAGTCGTCACTGAAATCGTCTTCGCAATAAATAGTTGGTTGCGCAAGTTGTTTCTCGAATATTTGTCAAACTTCGTCTCTGTCCTGTGTCGGGCGACGAATAGGGATAAGGATGGGTAAGAGAGAACGCACTTAAAATACTTGCATAATCGCTCGATGACGTAAACTTTGTATACAGTCATGATACGTCAGCAATTAGTGTTTACAACTTTATTGCGCGCAACAGAGGAACGATTTTTTCGATTCGTTCATAGACTTATATAGAATACCGTGACAACAGTTCGCAATTAGGCAGTAACGATTATGCGGTTATCAATGATGTTACGATGCGCAAAACACGTTACGTTGCGCGTTGCATCCGTAATTGAGAAATTATAAATTGAGAATAACGTTGAACCGTGGCCATTGTTCGGTCAACGGATTCTGCGATCGATTCTGTGCAAACGATTCTTACACGTAAAGCATATATGTATAAAAAGAACTAACGATAAGTACGAATTACGACGAGTTCCGGCGGCGCCACGGTACTACTACTACCGTCACCGTCGGTACCGATCGCGCGCGCGGAGAAATGTATAACTCGAGGTAGCAAAACTCTTGCCGAAGTCAGTTCTAGTTGTAAAAAAGAGAGATAAAGAAATACTAAACACGTCACGCGTTAAAAAAATACATAATTTACACATGAGTTTGTCGTTTGTAATCGGTCGCGTAGCAAACAGCAATGAGTATGTGTTTTGCTTCGTGAGAAATAGCCTCACGTCGTTCCGATCGTATTGCTTATATCGAAGGAGATTCGTATACGTCCGACATCGAATACCAGATTCGAAAGACGAACTGTGATAATAAAAAAATATATTAAATCTGCAAATGATTTGGCGGTTAGGTTTCGTTCGGATCTCGAATCTCGTCGAAACAAATTACATTGGGCTGTTCGGCTCGAGGAATCATCGCTTTTTTTTACCAATTCGCGATCGTCGGTACGTATAAATGTCTAGCTACACTGACGACACGACAACGACGCGACAACGACACCCTGGCTTTTTTTTGGTCGATCCTCACAGAGCGTGCGATGCGATGCGATGCGATGCGCTGCGATTCCGTATTTTTCGAGTTTTCGACCGGGTCTGCCAGTGCTGTAGGCTATACCCTACAGCATATACTAAAAGCATGTAAAAATCGAAGACTTCGGAGAGCCCCAGCCCCAGTGTTAGGTAGCCGAGAATCGGTAGCTCGAAGACCAAAAGTAGGGGTCACACACCCTCTGTCCACTTACACATAGACGAAAAGGTCGATGCGATTCACTTACACATAGACGAAAAGAAATGCATGCAATTTTTCCGAAAGTGTTCTCGCCAAGAAATCCCGAGGATTTCATCGAGAGGCCATAAAATCGACCTTTTCATCTATGTGTAAGTGAACAACGGGGGGTCTGACCCATACTTTAGGTCCTCGAATTACGGATTCTCGGCTAACTATTACGGGGGCCCTCCAAAGTCTCCGACGTTTACATGCTTTTAGTATATGCTGTAGGATACAGTCTACGGCACTGGTAAACCCGGCCGTAGGCTCGAAAAATACGGAAACACGGCGCATCGCATCGCATCGCATCGCATCGCACGCTCTGTGAGGATCGACCATTAAGGTGGTGGGGCGGCCGAGCCAGTAGCCAACTAGCCAGTGCCAGTACCCGTAGCCTTTACAACTGCTTTTACACACTTTTCCCTATACTCTCAGTTGTAAATGCTACGGTACTGCCGGTACTGGCTCGGCCGCCCCACCACCTCAAAAATCCCAGGCTATCGTTGTGTCGTGAGTGTAGCTAGACCTTAAATCGTTGAAACTTCTCCAAACAATGAAAAATATTTGTCAACGACGATTGACATTGTTATTTAAATTCCTTCAACGCGTACAAACAAGCTGACGAGAATCGTGCGTTACGACTGAGTCAGAAAACTGCTTTCATGAATACTGTTTGGTTTGAAGCGTGCAGTCGAATAGCGAGCGAGGAAGCTAATTCGTTGCACGAGTCATGGAAGAGAAAATTAAAAGACCTTGACCACAAACCGATTCCGTATCAAAACTTGTCAAATTATGTTTATCCAATCGTTAATCGCGCAAAATAACGATTCGTGAATTAACGCTAGGGATGATCGTAATCGTCAGATCTGTAATGGTCTCAATGGACGAACATATAGTTTTTGGCAACAAATTTGATGTACGTAGATCTACGTGTTATACGAAACTAGTTTGATATCGTTAATATACATACTTGGACAAGTATACTTCGTTTAAACTGTTTATAAACGTGATCTCTAGACGGACTACACAAATCTATGTATCCATAATGTTACGATTAAATCGATGTTACAAGTATCGCAAAGTCGCCACCTACGATCATTTAAAAAGAACGGTATCGAACGAAGAGGACTTATTTAGTGCCACTCGTATAGTAACGTCAGACGTACGTACATATAAAAAAAGAAAGAAAGAAACGTTGTACGTACGGATATAACGCGCGTGTATAAAGTTACTCTTCCAACGACGTCGCGCTGAACCAGTCTTATGGCCTATTCCCACTGCGATTTCCGACGCCGGAATCCGGCTCAGAGCCGGCGAGCGAAATTTTGGCGCCGAGCCCCTAAAAAACGGGGAAGCAGTACCGTAGCGCAAACTGCGAGGTATACATATAGGGAATAGCGTGTAAGAAAAAATATTGCTGGGTGTCGTTCAGGGGGCCCTGCTGGGTCCGAAAGCGGCGAACCGAGAGTGGGAGAAAAATCCGGCAGCGGAAAAGCAAGAGTGAGGGAAAATCCGCCAGCCGAAAAGGAAAGAGTGGGGAAAAATCCGGCAGCGGAAAAGGAAAGAGTGGGGAAGAAATCCGACAGCGGAAAACTTCGAAAGCGATTGAAAAATTAATCGTCAATCGAAGTTAATACAATGGGGCGGGATTAACCATGGAACCATTTGCCGTTTTGAAGGAATGAAACCATTATATGGTGATTGGTAGAACGATGTAAACATTTATGCTAGCTCGGTTAACGCTTCGGAAACGGTTGTCGAATCGGAGACCGGTGAAATATAAACAGAGAACGTGCCGAGAGCGGCAGGTTTTACCTCTTTGTCCCACCACTAAAAATCGGTCTCCGATTTTTAGCTGCTGCAGGTATAGGTAAAAGACCTTCACCCGCGCGAGCGTTATTAAATGGTCGCCAGCAGAAGCATTCCTTCAAAACGGCAAATGGTTCCATGGTTAATCCCGCCCCATTGTATTAACTTCGATTGACGATTAATTTTTCAATCGCTTTCGAAGTTTTCCGATGTCGGATTTCTTCCCCACTCTTTCCTTTTCCGCTGCCGGATTTTTCCCCACTCTTTCCTTTTCGGCTGGCGGATTTTCCCTCACTCTTGCTTTTCCGCTGCCGGATTTTTCCCCCACTCTCGGTTCGCCGCTCTCGGACCCAGCAGGGCCCCCTGAACAACACCCAGCAATATTTTTTCTTACACGCTATTCCCTATATACCTCGCAGTTTGCGCTACGGTACTGCTTCCCCGTTTTTTAAGGGCTCGGCGCCAAAATTTCGCTCGCCGGCTCTGAGCCGGATTCCGGAGTCGGAAATCGCAATGGGAATAGGCCATTATAGTTGAAATCGAAAACGCTTCGACCATTACTAATCACAATCAAATTAATTTTGTACACTAGAGACCTTTAGACCACCGCTCTGTCATCGTTTCGTGTCGTATAAACCATGTATCGATCCATCCACGTATTAAAAACAGATTCACACGTTCCGCCGTTGGTACGAAATGCGAAAGTTTTCAAATTCCAAATCGTACGTATGTACAACGTCCATTGTCCGTCGACTTTGTCATCGTTTCAGATTTTCTTTCTGTGACGTTTACAAGGAAACTGGGAAAAAGGTAACATACAAAAATGATTTGGGACCTTATCGTCTTCGTCGGTGGACAACCGGTGAATCCCGTGTACGAGCGAAAAATATCATGTTTCATTTTGTTGGCGCAAAGATCTATCGATATTAAGCGTTCAGCTTCGTATTTTCATTAAACAGACGAGAATACGTGAGAATATACGCACGATACGCCGTCGAGCTCCGAGATTCGTTCCACGTACTACTTACGTTAACGTGGTGGAGCTTGTTTCCAGCTTGTCTCTTCGTACCGACCTCCTTATTCCATTTATGATCGGCCTCGCTACCCTGCAAGGAACTAGGAAAGACGACGTTTTCGATGTACTATACTCCCCCCGTGTATCTCCGTTGTAGCCTGCCCTTTATGCTCTGCAAATAAACTTTGCACATCCTTAAACCTCATTCGGGCGGTTGCGACGTATTGGTACTCTCGTTTCGACGTTGCAATCGTTCAGGGTGCGAACAGGCCAATTGGCTGAAGTCGCGGACGACGTCGTTGAATGTTTCGTCCCCGCTGATTCCGATCTCGGAATCTTTCATCTCTTCGTTCAAAAGACCGAGTCGTAACCTGGCACAAACAACAAACCGACGACTGCCATTAACACGTATCACGCGGCAAGATATTATTTCTGAATGCATCGAATCCGCAGCCATACTCCTCGCACTTACAACGTAACTATGTCCGCGTTAGCTTCTTTCACGGCTATCGACAGAGGTTTCACGCCGCTCTCGTCCTCGATGTGTTGATCGGCGCGATGCTTCAACAGCAGACAGACTTGGGCAGTGTGACCTGTATTTTCAATTCGATTATTAATCATATGACAAAACTGTTACCCCACCACGACTACTATACTGATTTCGAAACCCCGATACCTAATTCCGTGGCCAGGTACAGCGGCGTTTTGCCTTCGGCATCTTGGCAATTGATGCGCGCTCCGTTCAGAATAAGATATTCGCAAGACATCACGGAACCCTGCGTACAACCGGAAACTAATTATTAATAGTAATTATCAAGAGATCGGAACGTAGTTGTCGTGTACCTTTCTTATACTTACGCTGACGATCGCTTGATGGAGTGCGTTCCTTCCCCTGTCGGTGACGTTCGTCCACGACTTGTCGGCGCCAGCTGCCAGAGCTGCGCACATCACGGGAAGATTATGAGCAGCCGCAGCTTTGTAGAGCAACATCTCGGGATGCAAATTTTCTATGTCTTCCTCGTCCGTGAATTCTTCGTCCTCCCCGGCGGTCGAATCTTGATCGGAACTTAATTCTAAGCTATTGTCGATCGTTGGCTTTGGTAAGTCGCATCCAAACATCAACACGTCGGACGACTCTGTCTTCTCTACGCACGGCTTCTTCACCTCCGTTCCCGCGTCTTCGTTCTCCGCACTCAAGGACGCTTCGCTCTTCGTCGACAGACTGTTCTCCGCGTTCGACTCCGTCTCGCCGTCGACGTTCTCAGGGTTGCTCTCGTGCAACGCTTCGCTGCGCGGTCGTGCCAAGATCTTTCCGTAGAGAGTCGAGTCATTTTTCAGATCCGTATTCGTACCGCTGTCGTCGGAGCTTAAAGAACTTCTCTTAACTTTCTTCGCTCTGTCCACGGAAGTTAGACTTTCGATCGACGTGTGTTTGCTGTCGTCCGAACTGATCGATGAACGACCCTCCCTCAGAGAGGAGAGCGTCGTCGTCTTGTTACGATTAACGTCACCGATTTTGTCGCAGCTCCGAGGCCGGCGTCGCAATTTCCGGACGCTCCATTTGCGAAAATGCATCTTCTCGCGGCTCGCGTGCGTTTGCCCGGACGAGATTACATTGCTCAGAGGTCTCACGAATCTCCGTTCGACGTACTTTGCTCTTATCCAGGTCTCGCGTATATTGCCGTTGCACTTGGGAGTCGCTCGGACGATGTCGGATGGAATCGGCAAGGCCTCGTAAACGTCGTTGACTACAGTGTTGCCAAGTTCCGCCATTACTTTCAATATTTCCGGTTCCCAGTCATCCAGCGTCAACGAACGGACCTTACTATAGTGAACGCCTAAGCTTCTGTGAACACCGGAACACTCTATGCAGAGTGTAATTCCAAAATTGATACTCGCCCACCTCGGATTAGCACCACCGCAGTCGCAGCACGCGTCGTTTCCGGCTATCTTCAAAATTTGTTCCCAGACCCTCGACCTAGGTTTCTGCTGTTGCCTACTGCTCGTTCCCCTAGCGTTCTGCGATTGAGATTCCCTTAAACTAATTATAGTACCAGCACCCATGCCTCTCTGAATGGCAGCACCAATCGCTTGCTGCATGGCGGCGATCCACGCCAGATAAGCCTCTTCGCTGTCGGCTTGTAACATGTGACTCTTCGTAGGACTCAATACTTCGAAGCAATTTCTTCTGTCACAATCGACCACCGGTTTCACGGTACATAGGCGAAGATCTTCCTCCATCACCGTGAAGTCGTTGTCACCGGTTCTTTTCTTATACACCAGTTGGTGGTCTCTCAGACAGAACCATCTTCTGTTCCACGTTTTGAACGCGTTGCTAGTGCGTTTGAAGAGGTAACCTTCCATTTTGGGATTGCTAGCCGCCGGGGAAGGTATCAGATCTCTGTTCGTAACGTGAACGTGCCGATTTTCCATTTCTTTCTCGAGTTTCACGGAATCCGTCCGCATTTTAATTAAGCTCTCGCCGAGATCTTTTAGAAACGGATCCAGATCTTGCGCCAGATCGCTACCTTGATGATAATAAGTCGTGCACGCGCGCATATAACTCAACAGAGTACCCAACACCTCGTGCCGCTTCCGCGATTGTATCATCGTCAAAGAGTGAATGTAATCCAGAGCCGTGTGTCGGAAACAAGATCTGGTCGCTGACAATATGTTCGAAGTTTCCTCGTACTCGGTAGACCTGGATTTTGGAACTTGCGAGTTTCTGTTCAAAGCTACGTCTAAATCCGCAGAGATTTTCTCGAAGTAATGACGAGACTCTTTCACCGTCTTGACATCGCTGAAAATACGCAACGATCGTTGAAAATACGCGGGGAACGCGGAAGTGGAAGTTTCAGCGGCGATCAAATGGTTAAAGAAATCAGAGAGACAGAATCCCTTACCCCTTGACGAACGAATTGAGATCTTTAATTATAGTCCTCGACGCTTGATCCAATAAGATGGTATGGAATTTGTTCATTTCTTGCAAAGCATGGATCAGTTTGTTCAGAAAAGCCATTATCTCTGGATCATCGTTAAAGTATAGAGATAATTCCCAAAGACTGTTGGCAAACTGGCTGTAAAGTGAAGTAATTAGTTTTTGTTGGCACGAAACGCGAGGGATTCAAAGTCCTCGATCGATCGGACGGATGAGATCCAACGTACCTCTGTTGTCCCACAAACTGTTTCCCGGTTTCGATCATCTGATTACAGTTTTTCAACACCTGTAAACAAGTCTGTTTTAACACACGGTCTATTGCAACGGCTGTTCATTATTTACGCGAGGTTACTCGTACGACATTGCTGCTTGCCCGACTGGCAAAGGGAACAATTTTTATCCTTAGACAGGAACAAAGTATCAAAGGTAAAAATGAATGCGAGGTATCCACGTGTTTGTGATAGGACGTGCCGAATATTATTCGAAGGTACCTTGTCTAATTTCTGTTCGAGTACATCGACGTTTGCCTCTGCCTCCTCGATGCAGGATCTACGAAAACGAAAGGATCATTTTCAGCGTATCTCTCTGGCTCGATCGATCGATACGTGTATCAACGTGTCGTAAACGAACGTGCATCGTGCATCGTCCAACGAAGCGCAACGCGACGAACGAACTAACAAAAGACGTGACGCATCGTTGAAACGTATGAATTAGGTATCTTTCTCCGATTCTCACCGAAACTTTGGTGTGTCTCGCAAACATTCCTCGAACTCGATCAAAGGCTTCATCTTTGTGCTATCCGTTGCCTGGAATTTTCAAGCGCAGTATCGCCCGACGGATTGCAATCTTGAAGATTCTCCGTTCACTGTTCCGTTCCATCAAACAGCAGCACGATCATTTGGAAGGATTAGGTATTCAACTTAAACCGTTCGCGTTCGCATTCGCGGAGAACAACAGAGATACCCGTCAGTCACTCCGTACCCTCTTCCCTTTCTGCTTCCTCTATTCTGCCCAGCCACCGTTCTACGGCAATCTACGGTTCTACTCCCCTATCCCTATATACGTATACGTATACTTCTATCTGCTTCTATACTAACCGTCCGACTGACCATCGTACTATCGTAGTCGTAGTCGTAGTCATGTGAGTCAGTCATGTCATAAGTCATAAGTCATGTCATAAGACCAGAGAGAAACTGAGAGCGCTCATTTTGGGGTTTTCGCATCCTCCATACTAGTGCTGCACCTTGCGGTCAACTCGGGAAAGGGGTCCACCGTAGCATATTCCAGAACCTTTTTAGCAGAGATCTGCCCTGTTCGGTTCCACCGTAGCATAGACAAGAATCGTGGCAAGGTCCACCGCAGCATATACACAGTATAGACTGTACACTGTACCAGGCAGTATGAAGACGAAATATAGGATTATATACAGGTTGTCCCAGAACTAGTGTTAGAAATGGGAAGGAGCCATGGTGAATTTAAACAACTTTTTCCTTTGCAAAAAAGTTGTCCGAGACGTGGTTGTCGAGATATTAACAAAAATTACCGACCAACCAGAGCATTCGTATACAAGGCGGGCAGGAGCGCGATAACCGCCTCGTACGTTGCCGCGGCCTGTATGCCACGCTCGTGACGAAAACATAGGATTAAAACGAAACTTACATGCAAGAGTAACTAAGAAATTGATTAAATATCAGAGAAAAGAAAGCAATTAGTCGTTTGTTATTCATCGAACTTGTTCGTCCATCCAGTCGAAGGTATCGTACGCATAGGAACGACTTTTCTTCGATATATATCTACTCGTAACTCGTATATCTCATCCGTAATACTGCCAGAGACAAACTCTGATACTGCCTATATTGTATCTATGCTGCGGTGGACCTGGAGGTTCTTATATCTGCTACGGTGGAACCGAACAGGGCAGATCTCTGCAGAAAGGTTCTGGTTTCCTGAGTTGACCGCAAGGTGCAGCACTTTCGTTGCGGTTTCACTTGAGAACAAAGAAGTGAGCGCTCTCAGTTTATCTCTGATAAGACGTCGTAGACTCAGACTATATATTAAACGACAAGGTGAGTACTCAACTGCTCGCTCAATTGATGTGTGTGTGCTGAATCGTGGTACATTGGCAGCATTTTCAATAGTCGCTTCGTTGAGGCAGAGAGGAAATTTCCTCTCTGGTTGAGGTTGAAGTTGAGAGGGAGCTATAAGCAGGAGGAAACGGAGGAAGTCAGATTCGAACGAACAAAGTCGAACAGTTGCGAAAATGGCGGCCAAAAGTGGAGGTACTGATGAATGGTCATCGATAATGAAACCAATATTGGCACTGTCGCACGGATCACTCGACAAGAATGAAATCTTTGATTTGGCAAAAAGCATTGTTAGAAGGTAAGGATTCAGGTTTTCAAACGAAAGTTATTTTAATGTCGGATCGTGTCTCAATTACGATCGTAGATAGAAGCAGGGAGTGGGAGTGAGAGCGAACGAGCGAGAGAGCGAGAGAGAATGAGAGAATGAGAAACTTACGTTCGTAACGACGTTTTTGAAAAATACGATTATACGTATGGGATGAACGTGTCAATATCGATCTATAAGCATTAGCTAATTGTTCATTGCTCTTTTTATGCCCCTCAGTGGAAGTAAATTCATTTCTCAAGAAGAGCATTACGATGTCTTTTACACGTCTGTGGCAGCCCTAGCCGCGGATTACCTCGGCAGTTGCGCCAGTACATGTAAGTTTTACGAGTTTTGCTTTGTCATCGTTCTAGAACGAGGAAATAGATATTTTCCAAATGTGTGTTGCTCTGTTTCAATCGTCTCGTTCCTCCTTACATTTTAGTTCCCAAGAGTCAGATATCAGTCGTTTGTCAAGCATGTCGAATCCTGCTTCTCCGTCTGGTAGACAAATTGTCGCAGCATCAAGTTCAACTGGGAAATGGAACGGCGACCGTATTAAGTACGAAACAGTTGTTACTCCCGATTCGTGCTCTCTGCATTGGGCAGTCTTTGCTTTCACCGGCGGAAGAGATGGCTCTGATCGCATTGATAAAAAATTCGAAGATACCACCGTACGTCAAAGCTCAGTCGCCCACGGGAAACGAGACGGATCCCTCTCAGTCGTCGAAGGATTCTGCGCGAATTCGCGGCGATTTGTCCGGTAGCATATTAGAGCAATTGACCATGCCGTTGCAAGACTTCGCCATGTCCATGCCCGTTGTCGTCGAGAACTTCAACGAGAGCAGCAGCAGCAGCAGCAGCACGAGCAAGACCGCGAACGATAATATTGCCAACGAGACTCATTCGGACACTAAGGTAACTCATTCGGACACCAAGGTAGTAACTTAAGAAAGCACGCGAATACGCTCTGACAATGTTTCACTTTGTTACTTACAGACGATGTTCGTCACGAACAACATAAACATTCTTCGAGGTTTAGGTGCCGGGGACATTCTTCTAGACATATGTTTGAACCTTCCCCACTTGTCGTGCTACACACGTAAATATCAAGCGTACTTGCACAAGAAAAGTTTCGCTTTGCCCGTGAACGCTTCCGACGCACACGCGATACGTCATAATTTACACTCCGTTTCGAATGACATCAACATCGTTCACAACGCGTTGTCTTTGCCCCTGTTGGAACCATTGACTCCGACCAAATTGGAAAAATTATCGTTACTCACCATGTCGTGTCTTTACTGCTCCATCGTCTACGCTATTGCGTCCAGTATCGTTGGAATAACGAACGCCGTTTCACCGAAGTGCAGCACGAACACGTACGCCGCCGCACAGTCCTCGCACAGTGTTAAAAGTGGCGAGGAAGATTACGACAGTCTGGCCATTACGGTCGTTGAGAAGAGTCTGGAGATATTCGGGCTGGTTTCGAACGCGATCAAGAACAGCACGCGAGCCGGTGGTCACGTGAGATATTGTTCAATTGTTCGAAGCGAAACCGACGCGAAATAACCGACGCTTACGAGAGTGTTTGTGTGACAGATTCTCCAAAATCATCTATTGATCGGAGTGTGGCTACTGGTAGCTGGCTTGCAAGCACAACTGACTGTGAGCGGTTTCAGCGCCGCGGACAAGGGAAAAGAGGAGAAAGGAAAATCTCCTAGCAAAGCGCGGGACGGAACGATACGCGTTAACGTCATGAAAATGTAACGTACACACTCGATGAAATATCGTTTGATTATCGTTAAGCTCTGTTAGATAACAATCGGTAAGCGGTGGTGGCACGACACTTTTCGATTTCAGCCAACAGGGTTTCGGAGTACTATCCGTGGCTTTGGCCTCTCACGCGCTCACGTTGATGAGCGCTTTGTTGGAGGACGTGTCGATCGAAGCGACTGCGGACAGTTCGGCTCCGCCAGAACCGGCACCATTGGACATACTGTCCACGGCTACTGCGCTTCAACGGGCGGTCACTTTTCTGCAAGCTGTACCGCTGAATCATCTTCTGTTCTACTTGGCCACTATCAGTTACAGAAGGGTCAGTTGACGTTCGACCTGCTGTGCTTGTCTGCCTGCTTTCTCCTAGCCGTTCTCAATTCGTATTTCTAACAACAGTTCGTATGAATTTATATCGCAGGCATGCACCTTGAAACGAATACAGAAGCATCCGTTCGAAGGTGACGCTCTGAGTCAGTCCGATTCTACGACTTACTACGAAGATCTGTTGAGCTGCTCGGACAATTCCACCGACGAAGGTAAACAGGTGTATTTATTGCGTTACGCCTGCTCACGATCGTATGATCTTTTTTCTTCCTCCCTCGTTCCGACTAAAACGAACCACGACAGAAAAAAACAAAGCTCATTACGAATTTAATCATACCTGCGGCACGTTTTTTTTGTTGTTACCTTCCGTTTGCGTACGCAATTTCAAAGTTTGTTTCGATATTTGCGTCGTCGACGCGAGAGACGAAGCGAAGTAATGATCGATGGAACGTACGCGTCTTCTCGCTATACAGAAAAAACTGTTATGTCGATAGAAGAGGACAGCGAACCTATTCTGGGCTTATGGTTCGAGGAGACACTCGCTCCGTCCGACGGATCGCCAGCGAACGGTGCGAAAGAATCGAACAATGAAATCAGCGCCGAGCGAACCGTGACTACCATCGTCCCGGATAATCGTGAACCACACGGAGTAAGAGAACCGACTTCTCTCTGCACGTTACACACGAATCTGTCGATGCCGCTGGCACACGTTCAGTATCGTTCTCTCTCTCTCTTGTTACAGTACATATCGCTGGCTACGAAAATTTTTCAATTCATGAATCAACATTTAATCGGCAGCAGAAGCTCGTACGTTCGCGAGTACGTGGTGAACGGTCTGGTCGAACAACAGATGGTCATATTGGCAGCGATAATCAGGGATCTAGATCACGAGACGGCTAGGACGGAGACCGGTACGCGACTTGGTGCGGTTCGAAAGGTTTTCGATGCTTACGGTCGTGCATTCGATTTCAGGCACTATATCCGTCTTCTACGGAGCCACGCTGGGCGCCATGTATTCCGAGTTTTCCCAAGCTCTGAGTCGTTACACTCACAACTTACTCGCTCGGAACACGTTGAGCGAGAGTTTGCAAAATACTCTTCTGCAGCATCTGGGCGTGAATCCTTGGTCCGTGACGGAGAGTACGACTTCGTGCACTTGGCCCCTTCAAGTTTATCCGAGAACGCTGAGCGTCCTGGCACAGGTACACGTTGTTTCGCGGTTTTTCTACATAGAACAATTTACGTTATAGCTTGCACTGGTAACGCTCGTGGCTCGCAACGCAGGTACTTCTGCTGAAGCCGCAGTCAGAGAAAGAAGCAGCTTGCATAAGTATATGGCATCGTTTGATCACGACTTTGGTGGAGAACGTGTGCAATCCACCCGCGACGTTCGAGGCAGAGAACGAAGGTAAGACCGCGTTACACCGTAAAGATCACTCGATTCGTCGTTCGTATCGGATCGCACCCGTCATACTTTCCACGTTTATTTTTGTAGATTTGAACGTCGAACATGCCCAGCTGGTCTTGATTCTGTTCCATTCTCTCAATTTGATGCAAAAGAAATCGGTGCTGCTCGTGACCGGTAGCGGAGCTGTACGTTGCAGCGAAGCCGTGAAGACACCGATGAAAGATTCTCAGATACTACATTTGTCGCGGTTACTGCTGTTGCTCGAATACATGATGAAACATCTCTACGACGCTCCTCCAGCGTTACTCGAGCAAGTAAGTGAAACGTCTTCTCTTCCGCGTTGAGAACGATACTCGCACGATACATTGAAGCATTTGAATTTATTCCCCGTTCGTCTCGCATGTTCCCGTCGATTCGTCCGTTTCATTTTTTCTGTTTCACTCGATTCCATCGGTTCATTCTAAAACGGGGATATAAATAGCTACGTTGTCAACTATCCCAATTGTTGCACAACGTTCGAGCATAACGAATGCGAGAATAAAGTCGCGTGCGAACGAAACGTGGCAAGATACCAGGGCCACCGAATTCCAAGTTACGTTCGAGTGGTAGTAACAGTCTTGCACATTACTCTGTCAGGCTCCGAGTTTGAACGCGCTTTATCGTTTCGAAGGCAATTTGTCTACGATTCGTCGTGACTGATCGTTTGAATCGTTCGACGCGTAGGTTCAGTGGAATCTGTTCTCTGCCACGAGTTTGGTGTCCGACGCGAAGGATGGAAATAAACAAACGGCTCGCATTTTCACTCCATGGACAGGGATCGAGGAGAATTATCGTAAGATCGGTAATCAAGACGAATTTTCGATGAAGCCCAGATTTTACAATCTCTCCACCACGGACTTCAACAACCAAGACACACCGAAATTGGACGGACTGGTTGGTATATTCGTTAGACATCGTTGACCGCGACGTCCACGATTCTCCCAAGTACCAGTTAGAGTTATTAACTTGGTTCATTCGCACCTTGTACAGGCCTGCAATTTCATTTTGGGTGCTCCGGATAAAATGAAGTATCCACTTTTGGTCGACGCGTTGATAGACATCCTGAACGTTCTGAATCAAGCGGATCTGCAACAGAGAAACAGTACCGACGGCAAAGACAAGGCACCTACTTTCATCGGATTGTGCGCGATCCGTTATTGTTTCTCAATATGTTGGCGATTATTGCTGATGTTGCCCCCGTCTACGCCGTACATGGACAAACTAGCCCTCGGCGAGGAGATCCCCGCTGGTCCGATGTTACTTTATTCTTTGATCTGGGGACCCAGAGCCGCGTACAAGACTTTCACCGGTTGGATGAAGGACTGTCTCGTCAGGCAGGGAATGTATACGCAGTACGCGAAGAACCTCCTGAGAACTGTATCGTCTACCGTGAACACGTTGAAGTACGACGTCACCGTCGCGAAGAATTGTATCACCGCGCTCAGACCGGAGACCAATTTTCCGAACAGGATAATACCGGAGAACGCGCTGCCGCGGCTCAGTTCGTTGTGCATTTTGGCTGCGGTCATTGGCAAACTGCAGATTCTTTTCTACGAGAGTGTGTCGAGGAGTCGAAGCGACGGTATCGAGAGTTCGAAGAACGCGCAGACCTCCGATTCTGCTGGTACGAACGCGAACAAGATGGTCAGCATTTTGCCGCACGTTCTCTCGTTGACCGAGGCGATTCTATGCTCGTGTCGATCGAGCACGTTACACGAGATGTTCGAGTCATTGGAACAAGACCGTAGTTACGGTCCACGGGATTACTCTATACTGAACGACACCGTTGCCGTCGATATCCTGTTCGCGTATTTACCGAACTCGATAAAATCGGTGCTTGACAAGTGGAAGTCAATAAACGTCGTTCACATCTCATGGAACACGTACGCAAACGATATCATACCGGCCGAGAGTTACATTTTGGCGACCGTGTGCCAGCACGTGAGCTCGCTGTCTTATCCGACGTTCTCCGTCGATCCGTCGCTGAAGAAGTTGTTACACAATTTAGTCACATTCATAGTGGAATACGTGACTCCTACGACCGCACCGGAGAACAGCGACGTACGTACGCAAGCCGTGGACATACTCGTCGCGTTATCCATGGACGCTCGTACGGATTACCTGCAGGACATGGCCAACAAGGCACTGACGAAACTACTGGGCGATGACGACAGCGAAGCGCGCCAGTTGAAAGAACACCTTTTCGTGTTGCATCACACGTACAGTTTAATAATCGAGTATACGAACGACGCTGCTCAAGATCCCGTGAACATCGTGGTCGACGAAAAGATCTTGGAACGATGCATCAAATATTGGGAGCTGTTGCTGGAGAAGCCGGTCGGTTGCAAAGCGTTGGACTTGTTCTTTGCGCCGAACACCGATCGATCTCTCGTCTCCGTCCTGCTGTGCATAACGTCTCCGCAGTCCTCGCAACAGTTCGCTACTCACGTTTTAAGATTCTTCAATATGCTGTTCAAAACGGCTGAGAAAGGAACCGACGGATCGTTGGAACGTCTCTGCGGCCTGGTTTCGAATCTAGCCCATGTGGAGACGGACAAGTTGCAAGTATGGCTAAAGCAGATCATTCTGGGAGCGACGTCCGTTTCCCCGAGCGCATCCTCGATGAACGTACAGACACCTACGACGTCGACGTCGACCACGAACGCGTTGGTCGCCGTCGTCAACACCGGCGGCGAGGATACACAGAAACCGGAGGAGACTAATAACGTGCCAAACAACGAGCAGGATCGATGGTTGATTTTGTCGCCGTACGATTCGGCTGGTAACAATCAATCGACGAGCATTACCGACGATCAACAGCAGCAGCAGCAGCAACAGCAGCAACAGCAGCAGCAGCAGCAGCAGCAACAACAACAACAACAACAACAACAACAGCAGCAGCAGCAGCAGCAGCAACAACAGCAGCAGCAGCTCCAACAGCAGCATTCTATACACGAGAACAGTCGTCTTCTTCGGGCGCTCACGAATTACATAGTCAAGGAGAAGAGCGTCGACGAGTCTGTACCGGTGACGATTCTTCGAGCTCTCATACCGTTGGCATATCACATCCTCTCCCCTAAGATCGAGGGCAACGGGTTCGCAGAATTGATGAACGTCATGTCCACGTTGGCCGACGCCGGTTCCGAGAAGGGGCACGCGTTGCTGTTCAAGGCCGCGATCGAATGGATCGAATTGTGCAAGGAGCAATTGATCAGCAAGGATCTTCAGACCTTGGACAAGCCTCTGCCGTTCGTCGAGGCCGGCTGCTGTATATTGAATTACATCGCGGACGTCGTGAGCGCGCTCTGCCCTCAGCCGAGCGGTCAGTCGCAGGATCGAGCGACGAGTCCGCCGTGGGAAGGCGTGACTCCGGTGAACGACGTGAACGACAGCGATTGGATAGACGAGATGCCGCACGAAGACGAGGACAGCGCCGCGGAGGACTCCGACGACGACAGCTTGTGCAACAAGCTGTGCACGTTCACCATCACGCTGAAAGAATTCATGAACCAGCATTGGTACCATTGCCACACGTGCAACATGGTGAACGGAGTCGGCGTGTGCACGGTGTGCGCTCGCGTCTGTCACCGCGGACATGACGTCACCTACGCGAAGTACGGGAATTTCTTTTGCGACTGCGGCGCCAAGAACGACGGCTTCTGTCAAGCTCTGACCAAACGGAGTCCCCAGTCGTCGGAACATCAGAGTAACAACGCGGGTGGCGTCGGTACCACCGGGACCGCGGCGGTGGTCGCGTCGACCAGCGCAGCCGCCGGCACGAGTTACGAGAACCTCGTGGCTGGGAGCTCGTCCGGGACCGAGAACCGTGACCTTCTTCTGACAAGTAGCCTGCGTCGGAGAACGTCGAGTCCCCTGTACTTCTCCGACAAGCAAGAGAGACAGGGACGCGACAAACAGAGACACGCGTGTTTGACCAAACAGTTGGAACCGTCGAAGGATTGGATACAGGGTCATCTCTGGAAGAGCGGTTTGGTGTCGTCGCTGGTAGACCTGGCTCGGGCACTGGTACCGGCCGTGGACGCCTCCTGCAAAAAGAACTCGGCCGTCGGTTGCCACGCGCGCGCTCAAACGGCGCTTGAACAGTTGCACACGCTGGAAAAGAAGTTCGAGTATACCGATCAGCTGATGTTGCCTACGCTGGGATCGCAGGAAGGAGCGTTTGAGAACGTTCGAATGAACTATTCCGGAGACCAGGGTCAGACCATCAGGCAGCTGCTGTCGGCGCACATGATACGCCGCGTCGCTATGTGTTGCCTCTCGTCTCCGCACGGAAAGAGGCAACATTTGGCGGTCTCGCACGAGAAAGGAAAGATAACGGTGTTGCAGCTGAGCGCTCTGTTGAAACAGTCCGAGTCGTCCAAGAGGAAGTTGACGTTGATGAGACTCGCTTCCGCCCCGGTACCCTTCACCGTGCTCTCGCTGACCGGTAACCCGTGGAACGAAGACTTTTTGGCAGTCTGCGGTTTCAAAGATTGCCACGTGCTGACCTTCAACACGTCCGGGACGGTCTCCGATCATTTGGTGCTGCATCCTCAGTTGGAGACTGGTAACTTCATCATAAAAGCGATCTGGTTGCCTGGGTCTCAGACTCAGCTGGCGTTGGTCACCGCGGACTTCGTTCAGATCTACGATCTCGGAAAGGACGCCCTGTGCCCGCTCTATTACTTCTTAGTGACGACGGGAAAGATAAGGGACTGCACGTTCGTGCACACGGAGGACGGCGTTTTTTACTTGTTGATTATGTCCTCGGCTGGGTACATCTACTGGCAAGCGTTGGACGAGGTCAGTTCAGCGAAATACGGGCCGTTCTACGTGACGAACACCCTAGAGGTGCATCATCCGGAGATAAGAGATAACGGCCAGGTCGGCGGTGGAGGCGTGTCCATCTATTACTCGCACGCGTTGCAACTACTTTTCTTCAGTTATGCGTGCGGCAAGAGTTTCATCGCGCCTCTCAAATACATGGACTCCAACGTGACGACCGTGTTCCAGATCAATCTCTCCGGTAACAAGAGCTCGAACGGAAACAAATCGAACAACAATCAGCCGCAGCCGTTGTGTCAGTGGAGCGAAGTGACCAATCATCCCGGACTGATCTGTTCGGTGTTGCAGACAAGTAACAATCTCGTGATACTAATGATCAAGCCCGACAGTGTGATGGTCCAAGAGATCAAAGCTATTCCCGCGAAAGCTAAAATAATGGACATGGTCGTTATAAGACATCCGAGTTCGAACGCCGAATACCGCACTACCTTAATTCTGTTGTGCGAGGACGGAAGCCTGAGAATCTACATGGCCGGGATGGAGCAGACCGGATACTGGATGTCTCCCACGGTTCAACCGATAGGCACGATGACGACCGTTAAACCAGCGCGGAAGAAGAAAACTGTGAAGACGGGGAAACCGTCGGGATCCGTCACTTTCCCCATCGATTTCTTTGAATATTGCCAAGTGATGAACGACGTGGAATTCGGTGGTAACGACTTACTCCAAATTTACAACGTCGCACAGATCAAACACAGACTGAACACAACCGGGATGTACGTTGCCTCCACGAAAACGATGGGATTCAGCGTCGAAGTTACCAACAACGATCCCGTTTTGGTCATGACAGGCATCAGAGTGCTGCTCGGAAATCAAGACGTCCAAAGGGCTCCGGTCTACATAGAGGTTAGCTCGGTCGAAAACAATTCGTTACGTCACGTTGAATTGTTCATCTTGTTTTACACTTATTTGCTACCCTTTACCCTTTAGGTGTTCGGCAGGAGCATTCGTACGACACTCAGCAGAAGTCGTTGGTTCGACATACCGTTGACTCGGGAGGAGAGTCTTCAAGCCGATAAAAAGTTAACCGTCACGTTTGGAATGTCTCAGGACCCGGAAGGTGTCATTATGGTGGACTGCATCAAAATGTTTGTATCGCGGACGAATATGTGTCTGCATGCCGTTCTCTGTATGATGTTCAATGTGCATGTTTCTTTCTGTTCTCTGCAGATACGGTAAAACGAAGGACGCGTTCGGTTGGCCCGAGGAAATCGAAGACGTACCGACGGGACAGTCGACGTCCGCGCCAGTGACCACCACCGTCAACAGCGAGACTGACAGTGTTCTCTCTGCACCCACGTCCTTGTCCTCCGTTGACAGGTATGTAAAATCGACGAGAGTTCTGAGGGATACGAGTATGTGAGTGTAGCGTATACAGTATTGTTAATCGTGTACAACGAAAATCTCTTATCGTTGCGTAATGCTTTAGCACGACGAAGGACAGTTCCCTTGGTATCGAAAGGTAAGAAAAATGCGTAACAAACTCGTTCACATATTGTGAAGCAATGAAATAGTGTGCCCGGTTCGGTCGCAGGTAGAGGCATGCCTCGTGTGCCTATGCCAAATACTTGCGAAATTTTTTTCACGCGCAAAACGTTTTGTACCGTTTCGAATGGCTATGTGTACCTCTTTGTAGAATGGTCGCGGCCGTATTAGAAGTGTTGGAATTGTCTTTCAACGTACCGACGAGCGACGAGAACAAGCAGCCGTTGAAAGCGACAGCGATCGACGTTGCGTCGCAACTGCTCACATTACCGACTCCGCCACCGGTGCAAATGCACACGACCGCGCTTCTAGCCGCTTTGCACTCGTCCAAGCAAGCGTATCACCTGCACAAGGTGAGTCACGTCGCTTCGATCATCGATCGAAATCGATTCTTCTCTTTTCCACTGAGAAGCCACAAGCCAGGCGTCACTGTTTTCACTCGATATTTCTTCGTTACTCAGGACCACGTACTATTGTCGCACGTGCTGGATTCGTTGAAATCGATGAGAGAACTTAAGGATGTGCGAGACATCGACGCGGAGAACTTTTACAGATTAGTACTCGTTGTTCGAAGCATATCTATATCGAGACCGCAGAATCTTGCCAAGTTCACCGACCAGTACACGAACAAGCCGATAGACGAGACCAACGGTAAGATCAGCAATGGCACTTCTATTTGTCTGTATCTATCGATCTGTCGAGATCGATATGATTTCGTTCGATAACGTGATCGTTTCATTTGCGATCCAATAGTACCGATCTTCGAGAAGGATCGTCGAGCTGCCGCTGTTCAATCCCGAAAGGGTGTCGACGAGAGTAAACAACACTTGGTCGTCCAGCTCATGGAAATATTGTGGGCCTTACACGTGGCTTACCCGGAGAACATGGCCCTCGCACCGGTCGTAGTTCCTGGATTGACTCACGCCGAAGGAACAATTCATGCGATGGTCGAAATAATTCATGCGTTTACCACGTGCGACGTAGAGAAGAACGTTCCGTTGGCTGCTAAATTGTACCTTCAATTATTACTGTCGTCCGACACGACGGTCAGCTTTACCGCGAAACAGGCGATCGTCCGCATACTGCGTCCGAGGTACAAGAGAAGAAGAGTGTACATACCGAGTCCGCCGAACTGTAGCACCCCAGGTAACCACCATCGTCTACGATCGTTGACCCACCGACCCGTCGTTCGTTTCCTCTTCACGTCTCTCTCATTCCGTCTCCACTGTAGGTGCGGCGATGGACGCGGAGGAAAAGTCGTTGCAACCGCACCGAGAGTTGGCAACGACCGCAGCGACAGCGGTAGCAGCGACGTCGTCGTCGACCGTGGACCGGGGGGAAGCGGAACAACGTCTGGACGTCGAGTCGATGTGTTCGGTGGTCGATTCTTTGTCGGTAATGTTGGCTGCGGACAGTAGTCAAGGTTCGGCCAGTTCTACGGCTGGTGCAACGTCGGCTACGACGACGACGACGACGAGTAGGAATCCTGGTGGTAGTACCAGCGGCGGCGCCGCCAGTGGTAGTGGTAGTAGTAGCAGTGGATCGCGAGGAGCGGTGAATCCGTTGGAAACCATGCTCGGTTCGGGCAGTTTCCCGCAGATATTGGACGTGCCGCCAGACACCGACGACGACACGATGGTGGAATTGGCGATCGCGCTCAGCTTGCAAGATCACGAAGGGGGTAACGCAGATTTGCTGCGACAAGGGTTCCAGCAGAGTCTCTCGAACTTGCAAGGATTGGAAACTCTTCAAAATCTAAACGGATCGACGTTGCAAAGTCTGCAGGCGTTGGCGGCGCAAGGTTTGGTTCAAGTGCAAGGTACAAGTCAGGTGAGCATCGGACCGTTTGCGTGATTTAGTCTAGAATCGTAGAAGAGAGATCCGTGTTACGATCAGAAGACGTTACGAGAGAAACTTCGGTTCCTTTGCAGAGTCAAGAAGGCGGAGGTCATTATTCGGACACGACCGCCTCTGCCGGAGGCTCGGATGACGAGGGATCGACCGCTGCCACAGACGGAAGTACTCTACGGACGTCGCCAGCGGAACAAGTGAGTCTCCTCATGTTCGAGTCGACTGAATCGCGAGATCGCTTGTCGTTTACGTTCACGCGTACGCTCTGCTCTCGTTGCTGTTTTCAAGACGTCAGTCTTCGTGTTTCAAAGATGTGGTAGGGAAACAGTGAGAGAGGGCGGAGGGCGGAGGGCGGAGGTACATTGTCACGTATCGTCGAAAGTTTTGTCGTAGATGGTAGTAACGTTTGGGATATATTTTGTGTTAGGGTGGTAGTGGTGGTAGCAAAGGTAGCGAAAGCGGTGGAAGCGAGAGCGGCGGGAGCGCTGTAGACAGCATGACGGGGGAGCATAATGTGTCGGGAAGGAGCTCCGCGTACGGAGACAATGGTCCCGATTCTATACCTCCGATCGGAGGAATTGGAGTCAACCAAGCGCCACGATCTGAAACTAATTCCGTGGGTCTTCCCGCGGCTTTCACCGTAAGTGCTTCCGTCGTCACTGTCGTCGCTGTTCGTTGGCGTTCAGGTTTTAACCGTCGTTATTTTCCATCGTTTCTCTCCAGCGTTTCTCATGCTTCAATGCGACGAACCACGACTTGCGACTCACTTACTTTTCATCATCTTTCGCCTCGAGCGTTGTCTTCACGTTCCGTTTCGATCGTTCGTCTGCGACGAACTCTTTTCTCTTCCCCCTGACAAAACCCCCCCCCCCCACCCCCCACCCGATTCGAACACGTTGTCGCGACGAACCGGACGATCCGCACTCTTCTTCCTCCCCTTTCGTCACAACTGCTTTATTTTCTACTTAGATTTGTTCGTTTTAACTTCTTGCCGCGACGAACAACGCGAGAATGAACATCGTCGCTTATGAATTGTTCGTCGGCAGGTCGCCGAACGAGAGGAAGGCACCGAGCAAGAACAAACCGCCGAGCAAGAGAACGACACGAGCAGCGAGACCACCGCCAAGTTGCACACCGTGCGGCTGCTGTTGCTCGACAAACTCATGCAATTCGTCCCGGCTCTGACGAACGTGCCCGGTGTTCTGACCATTCCGTTTATGCAGGTTCGTTGTCTCACGGACAGCAGTCTGCTCGGCGACGTTGTCGATCGACGAAGAGTTAGTACTCGAGTTAACGTGTGAAATGAATTCCGTCAGGTTCTACTGATATTGACTGCCGACTTGGACGGCCAGGAGGACAGAGACAAAGCCTGCGTCGAACGACTATTACGAGTGTTGACGAGAGAATTGGAAATGGACAAACCGGATACGACCAACGTGTGCCAACGTAGTAACAAGCGGGAGGTTCACTTGGTCATCATGCGATTGCTGAGTGAGTTTTACAGTTTCAAAGGTTCACGTACGCTCTCGCGGTCCTCTGATTGGTGATCGTTCGATTTTGTCGTCAGGCGTTCTGATGTCGCGATCGAAACATACCACTAAGACGCAAGCGGAGAATTCGAACTTTATCTCTCAAATGGCCGCTTCGATACTCGGAAAGGCTGGAGTGATCGACTATTGTTTGACGTTACTGAAAGCATTGTTGGAATATTGGAAGACGTAAGTTCGAGTATGACGCGCACGCAACGCGCGACGACATTTGCAACGACTTTTATTTCCTCTTCTTTGCAGCACATCGAACGAGGAAACTGGTACCGTTCTCGGTGGTCAACTGCTCAAAGAACACGTCACGACGTCTTTGCCGGACATGTCGCCGCTCTTCTTGCGGCAGCACGTCAAGGGACACGCTGGCGATATATTTGAACCTTATCCGCAATTGTTGACGGAAATGGTGTTACGACTACCTTACCAAGTGCATAAGTACACCGAGACCAGCTCGATACAGTCGGCGTTTGAGCAACCGTGGTACTTTTATCTCTGCGAGTACATGATGTCCTACCAGACGCCACTCGTCAGGAGACAAGTACGGAAATTACTGCTCTTCATCTGCGGTAACAAGGAGAAGTACAGGCAACTTCGCGACTTACACGCTTTGATCTCACACGTTCAGGTAAGAAGCGTTCGGGTCTCGCTCGGTTCTCACCTACTCGCCGCCACAAGCCAACCCACCCCTGCGAGTTTCACGCGAGCCTCACGTTAACGTTTCATTTTCATTTTCTTTCACGCTCTGGCAGTCGGTGCAACAATGCTGCACCGCTGGCGGATTCGAGCCTGTCCGACCACGCTCCCCGCACTCCATCAGCCTACCATACGATTCTCTGGTCGACCTGATCGAACACTTGAAATGCTGCGTCGAGATAGCTACCAGCCGCACGGGAAATTGGCAACGATTCTGTTTGAAACAGAACACGGTGCTGTCTTACCTGTTTACCGTGTCGACGCTCTTGGACGAAGGCGTTAGCCCTACGGTGCTGCAACTTTTACAATGCGCCATATGCTCGAGCAGTAAATCGAAGGAGGCGAGAGACTCCAAGTCGAAGGACGCGAAATCGGGGAGCGCGGGATCGAAGGAGAGACGGGAGCGCGAGAAGTCCGAAGATTCCGACACCGAGGCCAAGTTCGAAGAGGCCCAGTGCTTGGCTCTGGTCGAACAGATCCAAGAGCAAGTCGCGCCGAGCCTGTTGATGAAATTCATCCAAACCTTCCTGCTCGAGACGAACAACACGAACGTCAGGTGGCAGGCGCACTCTTTGATATTGGCTATTTACAAAAATTGCAGCCCGGCCGATCAGGAGGTCCTGCTCGACCTGTTGTGGCGTTTGTGGCCTCTGTTGCCCGCCTACGGTCGTAAAGCGGCGCAGTTCGTCGACCTGCTCGGATACTTCTCGCTGAAGACGCCGCACGCGGGCAACAAGATGCACTCGTACATGGAGCAAGCGGTCACCGTGCTACGCGCACAAAATCAGCTGCTGGCGCGGCATCCGAACGCGAATCTCTACGCGAACCTCGCGCAGTTCGTCGAGTTGGACGGGTATTACTTGGAGAGCGAACCGTGCTTGGTCTGCAACAATCCCGAGGTCCCAATGTCTACGATCAAACTGTCGTCGATCAAGGTCGACTCGAAGTTCACGACGACCACGCAGATCGTGAAACTGATTGGCAGCCACACGATCAGTCGTATCACTCTTCGCATAGGTGATTTGAAGAGAACGAAGATGGTGCGCACGATCAATATATATTACAACAATCGTTCGGTTCAGGCCGTGGTCGAGCTGAAGAACAAGCCGGCGATGTGGCACAAAGCGAAGAAGATCACGTTGGCCCAGGGGCAGACGGAGATAAAAATGGAATTCCCGTTGCCGATCATCGCTTGCAATCTAATGATCGAGTACGCGGACTTTTACGAGGACATCCAGGCCTCTTCCGAGACGTTGCAGTGTCCGCGATGCTCCGCTAACGTGCCCGCGAATCCCGGCGTTTGCGCGAACTGCGGCGAGAACGTGTTCCAGTGCCACAAGTGTCGAGCAATCAACTACGACGAGAAGGACCCGTTCCTCTGTCACGCCTGTGGCTTCTGTAAGTACGCCAAGTTCGACTACACGCTCACCGCGAGGCCGTGCTGCGCGGTCGACCCCATCGAGAGCGACGACGACCGCAAGAAGACGGTGGCGACGATCAACACCTTGCTCGAGAAAGCCGACAGGGTGTACAAGACCCTGATCTCGAACAAGCCTACCTTGGAAATGCTGTTGGTCAAGATATCGGAGCATCGTCTGGATCGCGGCTTGGCGGAGGACGGAGCAGCCGCTGCTGCCGCGACGACAGCGTCCGCTATACAGGTGTCGAGCGGAAGTACTCAAGTGAACAGGGCTATACAGTTACTCGCTCAGAGATACTGCGGCGAGTGTAAAACGTCGTTCGAGGAGCTGAGCAAGATCATACAGAGAGTGTTGGCGTGTCGACGGGAGCTCGTGGCGTACGATCGGCAACAGCGAGGGCAGACCATCGCTGCGTGTTCATCCAGCAACGATTCGTCGTCCGTTGCCACCGCTGCCAAGATGGAATCAGCGGGAACGACGATCGCTTCGAGGCAGACGTTACCACCGGCGACTACGACCAGCACCACTATCGTTGCGGCGTCTCAGCTACCGGCTGTAAACGCGCAAACGACGGGACGTTGCTACGGATGCGCCACAGCAGCCACGGAACACTGTCTGACTTTGCTACGTGCTCTCGCCACCAATTCGGTTGCCAAAGAGGTCCTGTGCAAACAGGGATTGATCCAGGAGTTGGTAGAGCACAACCTGCGCAAGGGCACCGTGCAGATGCAGGAAGAGGTCCGACAATTACTCTGCCTCGTTACCAGGGACAACGCTCAGTCAACGAAAGAGCTCTGCGCCCTGTTGACCAGTCGAATCACTCTGACGCTCCGCGGTCGCGTCGCCACGTCCGATCTGTCGTTGGCCGTGCGTCACGAAATGGCATTGTTGGCCGCTCTGATTCAGAAGGAGGATTCGTGCTGGGAGCAGAAGTTACGATGCGTCATGCAACTGTTCTTGATGGCGTGCAAAGAATCGAAGAGCCCCGTCGTGATGGAGAGCATAATACTGCCGTGTCTGAAGATACTGCAGGGATTGGTGAAACCGGAGCAGCCGGTCTCGTCGAAGAAGACCAAGGAGAAGAGCGTCGAATCGTTGGCCAGCGTTCAACCGGCCGAAGGTGTCACCGTAGACGTGAGCAAGTGGCTGAGCGGTGACCCGAAACATTCGTACTCCGATTGGATCCGTCGTATGCCCGCGAAGAAGACGGAGCAATCGTCGGTGTCGGGGAAGACGTTGAAAAAGGAGGAGGTTCGAGCCCTTTATTTGACGGAGAAGTACGGACACCGATGGCACAATCGATGCACCAGGCAGCGTGGTGTTCAACCGTTGAAGTTAACGGACGGCGCGTGGTTAAAGGAAGTGTTGTTCAATCCGAGTTCACGGCTCGCGCGGCAGGTCGCCTGTAACATGATCGAGAGCCTCTGTCAAGGAACCGAACGAAAGAAAGAGGTGCTCGTGCTGCTGACCTGCTATCTGGAAGAATTGAGAACGGCCGGCGAGAGTAGCACGGAGTTTCTCACCCTGTATCAAAGTTTGATCAGGCAACCACCGTGGAAACAATTCTTGGCCGTCCGAGGCGTGATGACTCTGCTCGCGGATCTGTTAACGAGAGAGATCGAAGAGCTTCATCGACTCGAAGAGACGACTTTGACCAGCGATCTGGCACAGGGCTACTCCCTGAAAATGCTCACGGAACTGATGGCGACGTTTCTTGAACAAGAGAACATTAAACAGCAGTACAAGGGCCGTTTGGTCGGCGCCGTGCTCAACGGTTATCTGTCTCTGAGGAGGCTAGTCGTTCAACGGACGAGACTGATCGACGACACGCAGAAGAAACTACTGGAGCTTCTCGAGGAGATGACTACCGGCACCGAGGAGGAAACGAAAGCTTTCATGGCGATCTGCGTGGAAACGGTGCAGAAGTACAGCGTGGAGGACGTTCGCACGCCGGTGTTCATCTTCGAGAGGCTGTGCTCGATCATCTATCCGGAAGAGAACGACGTTGGTGAATTCTATCTGACCCTCGAGAAAGACTCGCAGCAAGAAGATTTCCTTCAAGGCAGAATGTTGGGGAATCCGTACAGCAGTTTGGAGCCCGGCCTGGGACCGCTGATGCGAGACGTAAAGAACAAAATTTGTCTTGACTGCGAGTTGATCGCTCTGCTGGAGGACGACAACGGAATGGAACTTTTGGTCAACAACAAGATCATCAGTCTCGATCTGCCCGTGAAAGAAGTGTACAAGAAGATCTGGGTGCCGGAAGGCGGGGAATGCGACGCTATGCGCGTGGTTTACCGTATGCGCGGACTACTCGGCGACGCCACGGAGGAGTTCGTTGAGAGTCTGAACGCGAACAGCGAGCAAGAGGTGAACAACGAGGAAGTGTACAAAATGGCGAACGTCCTGGCTGATTGCGGTGGTCTTCAGGTGATGGTGAACAGACTGGCAGCTATACAGGACGTGAACCGTGCCAGACCGTTGCTGCAAGTCCTCCTGAAATTGTTCCGGCTCTCGGTGAAGGTGAAAAAGAATCAAGAGGTTCTGAGTAAATTGGGAGCGGTCACGGTGTTCCTCGATGTTCTCCAACGTTGTCTCGCCACCGAAGAGAACTGGCAGGCGAAGATAATTGAACAGCTGTTGGAGATCATGGAGGCGATCTTGACGCACGCGTCGATGACCACGCTCGAGGCGTTCTCGCGTACATTGAGCGGACCCGAGCACATAAAGGCGCTTCTCTCCTGCGCTCAATCGACCGCTGTCAGGCAGAGCAATCTGTTGCCGCAGCTTGCGCGCGTCTTAGCTGCCCTCACGTACGGCGATCAAGAGAAGATGGCTCTCCTCTGTAATTATTTCAAGCCTGTGCTGGACTTTTACGAGTTCGATCAGGAGCACACGCCGGAGGACGACCAGAAGATGGAACTGTTCTGCATCCTCACGCAGGCCATAGAACGGAACGCGATCGGTAATACTCTGAAGGATTATATCATAAGCATGGGAATCGTGAAGGACGCTTTCGAGTACATAACCGTGCGCGCCCCTTGCCTGAAGCCGACGCTGCTGCGAACCGACAGCGACGAACTGAAGGATTACATTTCGAAGCCAGCCCTCAAGTACATCCTGCGATTCCTCACCGGTCTGGCAACGGATCACAAACCGACGCAGCTGGCCGTCTCACAGTTCACCATCAGCATAATACACAGGCTGGAGCAGGTGTCGTCGGACGATCACGTCGGATCGTTGGCGGAGAACTTGTTGGAAGCTCTGTGCACGAACAAACGCGTCGCCGAACTGATCGAGAAGGCACGGCAGCACACGCGCAGCGAGAAGAAACGTTTGGCGATGGCAATGCGAGAGAGACAGCTGGGCGCATTGGGCATGCAGACCAACGACAAGGGTCAAGTGATGGCCAGCGGGGCGATACTTCAACAGATGGAAGATCTCGGCGATGAGACGGGATTAGTTTGCGTCATTTGCCGCGAGGGATACAAGTTCAAACCAAACATGGTAATGACCGCGCACGTTCTCGTTACGCATACTTATGCCTCGTTCGTTCCCAACGCTTACTTTCGTTCACGTCGGTTCGTCATTTCAGGTTCTGGCCATATACACGTTCTCGAAACGCTGCAACGTCGAAGAATTCGAGACGAAACAACGGAAAACGGTCGGCTACACGACGGTCACGCATTTCAACGTCGTGCACGTGGACTGCCACATGTCCGCAGTGAGACTGGCGCGCGGCAGGGACGAGTGGGAGAGCGCAGCGTTGCAAAACGCGAACACCAAGTGCAACGGTCTATTACCGTTGTGGGGACCTCAAGTGTTAGAATCCGCTTTCGCCAGCTGCTTGGCGAGACACAACACTTATCTGCAAGAGTGTACCAGCCATCGCGACATATCTTATCCTTCGACGGTCCACGACTTGAAGCTGCTGTTGTTGCGATTCGCCCAGGAGAAGAGCTTCCACGAAGACAGCGGCGGAGGCGGCCCCCAGTCGAACATGCACTTGATCCCTTATCTGATTCACACGGCACTCTACGTGATCAACACGTACGTCATCATACCGTTTGTTACCGTCTCGTCTGTTCAATCGCGATACCGCGAACGTTTCGTTTTCCACGAAAGTACGCGCGCGGTTCCAGGAGCCAACTGACAATCGCTTCGTATTGTTACAGCACACGTGCCGACGCGCGAGCGGATAAGACGTTGCTCAGCTACTTAGAAGCACCACCGCGTTCCAGCTGGCTCGACAGTTGCTACGAGGCAGAGGGACCTTTCTACCAGTGCACCATGTCCCTCTTGCTCCACTCGCCCGCCCGCTGGAAAACCTACAGGGTCACACATCTGAACAGACTGATCGTCTGCGCCCATCAACGATACGTTTCACAGTCGGGTCCCACGAAAACCATTGCCGACGCTACGGTGAAACACTACGCCGTGTACAAGAGCGCCTTGATCTTCTTCGGACTAGTCGATTGTATTTATGCAAATTTCTTTAAGGTACGACAGCCGTCCGATATTTTCACGCGTTCGTACGCCCCGTATGTTTGTAATAATAATAATCATTTCCCTTCGACTTGGCCGATTGCAGAAGGTCAACGTATTGTCGGACGATCAATGGCCGACGGTCCTAGCCGAGTACATCAGACACAACGACGAAGCCATGTTGAAAGCCTCGGAACGTGTACTCGCTGCTTATCGTGACGAATTGTTACTTTGTACATCTTTCGAAGAGTTTTGCGACGTTGCCGGTGAGTAGCGCGTAATCGTATCGTCGAATCCGATCATTTCAAGTGCGCGAACGATGTTTGAAATACTGTGTCCGACATTTGTTTCAGGCTTGCTCGAGGAGATAACGAGTCCTACGTACATGAGCGACTTACTGCTACGATTCGCTTGAATGAACATGAAAAATGATCTGTCGAAAGGCGATTTGGTCTTTCGCGTAAAAATATACTAACACTATCTGGATTCTCTAGTTTTCATCTGTTTTATTTTTCGTTGCGCGCGCGGCCACGCGTTCATCTCGTTTCCACGAGTCTTTTAAAGCGGACCTCGTTTTCTGATTGTGGAGGATCATTACCGATCGTTTCAGCCACTGACCTTTCTAATTAACACGCTCGCGTTGTAAATTGCGAGTCGACTATTTGCTTTTTTTCATAGGAGAAAATCCATTCGGTGTATCGCGCGTTGTTGCGCAATCCTGTAATTGTATATTTAACGAAAAGGGAAAAAAATATGTGCTTTAATAAAATACGAATTATCATACTACAGTTGTTAATTCCGTCGAACAACGTTTATTTATTACATATCCGCTGCCTGACGCGCGATTAAACGGATGAAAATTTAGTTCCCAGTGTCTAGAGAAGATATATAGCTCTATCGACAATGCAACAGTGTGACAGGAATAGAAGTAAATTTTTCTCTTCCTTCACACAAACGTATTTTTACGTCACCGTCCATCACAGTAGTTCCCTTTCTTCTTACTTCGTGCTGTTGATACAACTACTACTGTACACTGTTTCAAATAGGCGAACGAAATGTCTGTATCCTAGCTGTACAAGTTGAATCGAGGTTTAGAGGATATATAGAGCAACGGCTGCACGGTTGAAACAGTAAGAGAATGTTCATTGCCTACAAAAATATCTATCCTCACGTCCGGAGTCATACTCGGAAACGATCCACGATATAATAATTTACACTTCGAATCGTACCTCGCCTTTATTTAATCAGAATGGTAGTCTGCATTAAAATGATACTGCGTTTCAATTACACGCGCGCATATGTACATACTTCACATCGGATATCGATGCTCTGTGTCTGCGTCGAGTTTCATTATAAAATAAACGTCCAACTATCAACGATCACCCGCAGGGCAAAGCATCTTCTAAAATCGCCACTTTTGTCGGATCAGGAAGTCAAGATTAAAAAGTAAATGAGGTGAAGGTTTAGGAAATCCTCCCTCCCAAAAAAAGAATAGATACGACGTTTCTAAAAAGTTCAAAGACGATCCGGGAGTTTTGTAACGAAGTCGCGGATGACACGTTCGTTCTACGTGTCACTCTTCCACAGTTTGATAGTCTTGTCGTTTTCGAGAGCAGCCGAGGCTATGATATTGTCCGTCGGATGACACGTCGTGCATAATACAACGTCTACGAGGAAAGATTGATTTGGTCAGTGTCGAAGCTTACTCGCGAAATAAATAACGATTGTGGAAATATATACTAACTATAATAATATACATATATATATATATACCTGTGTGTCCTTGTAATTTCTGAACAATTTCCTTGGTTTGTAGATTCCAAATGTATACCATATTATCTTCGGAGCCCGAAACGATCCACTACGAACCGATTGAAATTAGCCCCGTCGAATGCGTGCGTCACGATACGAATACAAAAAGATATTTACCTTTCCTCCTGTGACCGAGAAATTTGCGAAGATACAATATTTTTCATTCTTGTGACCAGTGTACGTCTTCAGGCATTTGCCTTTGCTGTAATCCCACAGTTTCAACGTGTTGTCCAACGTCGCCGCTAAAATGTATTTCCCATTCGGCGAGAACTTGACGAACGACACAGGAGGATTATCGTCGTCTATCAAGGTCTTCAGACACTGACCGGACGCTGTGTCCCAAATCCGACTGTGCAAAGGCCACGTACCATTTAGCGAGATTCTCGTTCCATTCGTCGTCGTATCGCCGACGTACGAACACATGCTTACCACAGTCCGTCGTAACTGCTGGACACGATTAACGATCCGTCCCTGTTGAAGTGAACGGCGCTCACAGGATCCGAATGGGCAGGCAGCGTTTTTAGACATTTCCCAGTTCTAACGTCCCATATACGGACACTCTCGTCGAACTAACAAAATTTCATTTCGTTAAACTAACGGCGTCAGCGTTCAGCACGCGTTCGAGGACATGCAAATCTCTTAGTCTCTTTATGAGGCCAGACCTCGGACGAACTACTCACCGATCCGGAAACTATCAGATTCGACTGTGGATTAAAGTTACAACAGAAAACGTAATTACTGTGACCTTTCAACGTTTTCAAGCACTTCCCCTGAAAACGAAAGCAGCCAGACAATATGGATAGGGCGTTTCTCACGATTCGATGATCTAAACACATTAAACATTAAGGTCGAACGTACGGAACTCAATTCCCATATTTTCAATGTTTTATCGTCAGACGCAGACACCAATAATCTACTGTCGCTAGACCACGCGACGTCGGAGATACCGAGTTTGTGACCGGATATGGTTTTCTCGAACTTCCCATCGTATGAACCCCATATTTTAATTAACTTATCAGCAGCTATGAGAAAAACGTTATTCAGAACGTTAGAAACGCTTTGGAAGAACCAGTCGTTGCTGCGTTAATCATTTTTTATACTCGTTACTTACAAGAGCTCGCTAGCCATTCTCCGTTAGGACTAAATTTCACGGATGAAACTGCTTTGGTATGACCAGCCAAAGTAAATTTCAGGGTGTAGTTTGGTTTCTGTAAAAGGAAAAACGGGCGCTCGACGTTTGACAAGCATTAAAAAGAAAAGGTCGACAAAGACGTCGATCAGAATAGAATCTAATGAAACTGTCGATGTAACTTCAATTACCAGTGTAGAGCTGCTCTTAGTCCCAGTACTGGGAGCACTCACGGTATTATTGACAGATGTTTGATGCCCTGGCGACGGACCAAGTGGCACCATTTTTTATGCAATTCAGTAAATACAACGGCTCGCGACGGAGTAACTGAAATGTTCTTAAATAAGAATTTCGATGAATTACGTGAGAAAGACATGATATTAATCCATTTAATGATTAAAGGTTGAACCTTGAAGTCGGAGAAGAAATAACCGTGACTTTGTTAAAGGGATGAATACCGTTGAATTCCTCTATATTGCCATAACTACGATCAAGTGCATCCTCGAGTCGTTACATTTGTAGCGTTTCTTATTAACGATAATGTTACATTACTCTCGAATCAGCAACGCACATGTATGTACACCACTATTTCTGAAAATTTGTATTGTTCGCGAAGTTCTCGAATTCTAATCTCAAATCTATTTCTTTGCGGATATAGAATTATTCTGCACGGTCGACTCTCGTGTTTGCTTTCCTTTCGTTTATATTTCCATCTCACAAAATATCCAAGTATTCCGCGTTCACGAGATCACCACAACGACCACGACAGATCACAAACAGTTTCAGTTGCTGCAGCAGTTCGTTGGTCTGAAGTTGGTTCTGAACCGCCTGAACCCAGTCTGGAGATGGGCGATTGTCGTCAGCACTGAGGAATTCTCGGCCGAAACTAACTTCAACGCATCGTATTTTTTAATAGCGTTAGCGCAAAAACAGTTTTAAAAATAATCTTGAATATCACGTCGTCTGCATGACTGCACGCTGTTCGAAGTAATCATTAGTTTATTTTATCTGGACGCACAAACAAAGTTTCCGTATTTGATTCATTACTTAAAATTCGTTTGAAATAATTTTTCATTCTATTTCTTTTTAATTGATCAAATATTCTTCAAAATCATGTCGGAGCATCGAGAGTGGCGAAATAAAAATGTCAATTCCAAACCTGTGAAAATTTAAACACTACACGCGGATTGCGTACATGCTCACCTCACAGTTTGTGGTCAGGGGACTGTCAGTAGTGTCAGTACTGTCACTGTCAGGTCAGTGGCAGTGGTGGCAGTCGGTGCGGTCGGTGCTGGTCGGTGCGTCGCGTCGGTCTATCAAGCAATAATACGCCGGCCATGGCAGAATGGTTACATTTGAAAATAGTTCGCCTGAACGAACTGAACAATGTCGAAGAAAAGAAGGATATATTATCTGAGATCAAAATCAAATTGGGGAGCTTAAACAATAGAGAAGCCGAACAAATCTCTCGGAATTTGGATTTTGGCTTGTTGTTCGCTCAGTTAACCTCCGATGACAGGTATAATGAACAGTGACTTTCCGATGTAATTACATTTCAATCGCGGTGAACACGGTGTTTTCTTCAATTTTTGTAAAACCGCTTGATGAAATTATCGAAAGAAATCGAAAAGTGCATACGCAAAGATGACCGCTACTTTTTCACGATTCATCATGGAATCGATTCATACACGCGGATAATGAAAGAACGCATGTGAAAATGTTTAATTGTTTTTTGTTTTTCAGAGAATACGCGAATGACGTATGTAACGTTTTAAAGACGTTGTTTGGAATTTTGGAACTCGGAGATGTGTACGAAAGGTATTCGTCAGAATTATCTCAATTAATAATTCATTCGGATCCTGCGGTGAGATCGCTCGCGTTGCATCAGATCTTAAGCGTCGTGTCTGATCCTCGAAAGATATCTTTGCTTCTGCGAGATACGAATTTATTGGTCGCCGTCATAAATAGAATCGGTGACGACAGTCTGATGGTATCGAAATGTGCCGCGTGTATAATGAAGGAGATCGGCAGACATCCGAACGGGTTACAAATTCTATACACTGGTGAACTGCTGCGAAGCTTTGCCAGATTGTTAACGAAAAATGACGTTGTCAGTTTTCGCGTGTACGAAGTCGTCGTGGACGTAGCGAGATCCTCGAAGGAGGGCCTCGAAGCGTCGGCTCGATCAGGATTTTTGAATTCCTTGTTTGAGATTCTCGAGAGCGAAGATATACTGTTGCAAGTAAATGCGTTAGAAATTTTGTCGCAATTGGCATTGACGGAGGAAGGACTGAGCTATCTGGAGCAACAGGAAGTGTTGAGAAAATTGGTCCAGAAGATAGCACAGGCGAACGAAAATCCGTTGTCGAACTTATTGATCCCCGGTTTGATGAAGTTCTTCGGGAACGTTGCCCGCCATTGGCCGAACGAGATCTTTTCCAAATATCCGGCCGTAGTCTCGGCTTTGTTTGAAGTGATCGAGAGCGCGGATCAGACCATTCTCGGCGTCGCGTTAGACACGTTGGGTCAGGTTTCTGTACGTCCCGAAGGCAAGTACGCGTTGCAAGCGTTGGGAAACGCGATGCCGAGTGCGCTAAGAAAGATAGCGGAAGTCATACAGAGAATGCCTACGACACTGAGGATTCGCGGACTCGAAAGTCTGGCTCTGATACTCGATGTACCGAAACCGGAACAGGACAACAGAATTCTGTCGTTGACGAAATCATGGTTCGATTCTATGTGCGACGATCCCTTAGGCATGATCGTAGCTCTGTGCAGGCAACCGTTCGCGGACATTAGGCAAGCCGGATTGCAGGTGTTGGCCGTTCTCGCGTCTCAAGTATGGGGTCAGGAATACGTATCGTCGTATCCGGGTCTGGTAGAGTTCTTACTCGACAGGAACGTCGAGTCGTTTAAGGAATGTAAAGAAGCGAAGTACGAGGTGGTGAAACGCCTGGCCGAAGGCGAACAGGACGTATTCGATCCGGACACGATGCGAAGGTTCAGGGAGTTCGCGAGCCAAGGACCGCATTACGTCGAAATAAGTACGGAAGTCGCGATCGAGGGAGGATCGTGACCTGTGTCACTCTCGTCCTCGTTACCGTACGTCGAGGACATCGAAGTTCGTCGTTATCAGTCGAGAATGTCGTACGATTTCCAGAGAACTTCCCACGAGAGCGAGTCTATGCTATTATTATTTATTTTCAATCTGTTACATGTAGAAATAAAATGCAATGGTACGTGAAGGAGGAGGACGTATTCTTTTGCGCGACGGAGGAATGAACCACGGGCGTAGAAAGACAAATAATTTATTTTATAAGTAACAATGATACACGTTGAAGATCGAGCCTGCATGGCTCTCAGCAGCGTGTAAGTTGCACGCGACTCTTACACCGCGCGTGCGTGCGTGGGGTGGTGTGCGTCGTGCAGTGTAACGTGTCTATATTTTCACAACGAGGCACGTTTCTTTTTTCTTTTTACATTAATTACAATAAGAACATAAATAACTTTATGAGACAGATTGTACGCAACGAACTTGTTTAATTACTCTGAATGCATTTTCGTTTTTTGGGCGAGAGTATTTTTAACATGCTGACGATGGGTGCTTCGAAAGCTACCGACACAACGAACGACAGTATGTACGACAGAACCAGTATTCCGAAGAAGGTGATCATCTGAAAAATCGGTCGTGTTTTCTATTGAAATAGTTCGAGTCTCGAGAGTAAATTAATTTTTGTTTCGGTGCGTAGGAAACCCGTCCGGTTTGCAAACGTCGTCTATTTCTGTTTGACGTATGAGAGAAATAGAGCGGCAAACGATTTTTGAAAATCAGAATTTCGTACGCACCGGATTTCTAGCACTCTTGCACGAACGTACCATTGTATATTTTCCTAAATGGATCGGCGAATCCATGTTCAAGGCCGTCCATCGAATCACGAGTGGATGCACCAAGTAGGCGCAATACGTCGTTCTGCTGAACGGATACAGCATCGGCGCCGACAAAACACGGTTCACGTATCCTGTCGAAAATCGAAATTGGAGATCGGAACGTTTACAGCATCGCCGATGCGTCGACGAAAGATGTTTACCTCCGTAACCGGTGCTGCACGCGATCACTATCCACGATAAACCAAGCGCCCAAACGCTATGACTCAGCGACGAGTAAGCAGCTGCCATCATCGGGCTAAGTTCTGCTTCGTAGAGGCCGTATAGCAGGCTCAAGAGACACGCCGATGACAGGAGCCAGCCCACGCAAACCGTCGTCTGAAAGCAATCGAATCGTGAAGAGTAACGTTTCCGTTTTCTCCTCACGCCTTCCCGCTTCGAATCGCTGTACCTTTGACATCTTGAGCTTGCAGTCGATCTTGAAGAGGAAATAACCCATCGACATGCCTATAAAGTACGGACCCAGCCTGGTCCACGGTTTGTCGTAGATCTTGTCGAACAGCGCCAACGGGTCGTCCGAGCTCGGCATGTGATTGTTCACCAGAGCGATGTAGCCCGTCGTCAACCAAGAGCTCAACAATAACATGGTCATTGCGAACGCTGCTATTTTCAAGTGATTCGTTGCCAAGACCAGTATCACCGCGCCGATAATGTAAAATTGAGTGTCGTCCGCGAGATACCAGCTCCAGATCATACACTGGAAAAACGCGAGACGACGTAGTATACCAGCGCCTATCCTGACGACGAGATCGAACGCGACGAGCACTCACCATTTGATCCACCGGGAACAAAGTGTTGATGTAAAGCAGATTCCTCCACCAATAGTTGGGGCAATTGTAATGATCCGCAGTCGGTGGTTCGAACACGGAGTTGGAATGGAACCACTGCATCGAGATCTGAACCACGCCGAGTACGAACATGTAAGGAGCCGTGAGTCTGCAGAATCGATAGAAGAGGAGACCGACGAATTTCAATGTTCCGGCAACGAAACACCCTCTGCCCTGCGTAAGCTTGTTCAAGTCGCCTTTAGCATTCGTCCTGAAGTAGAGGAAGCTGACGAGCAACCCACCCATGAAGAAGAACGTGTCGACGCTGAAAGCCCCGTTGGTGATCGTTTGGAAAAGGAACTTTTTCTCCACGACTTTTCTATACTCCATATTGTCGGAGTACTTGAAGGCGGTGATGCACGTGTGGCCAAGAATGATCCACGCCATCGATATCGCTCGAAGACCGTGGACAGTGCTGATCGTGTCGCCGCCGACCTTGTCGTCGCAAATGATCTTAACGTTGGCGCGAACCGAGAAAGAGAGCAACAATTCCTCGAGGACACCTGACGAACGCAAGGTAACTTTACTCCGATCCGTTCTTTCGGGGACGAACGGGACCGGGGGGTGGAGGACGGGAAAGTGAACGGGTGAATGGTACGACGATTGTTGGGACGAGGAGCTCACCGAATTTGTGCACTTCCGGACTGGCTGAGCGTAGGCCAACTTCGTGATCGTTGTTGTTGTTAACTGCTAGCGGTTGTGGCCCGATGACGACGACTTCTGCCGCTGGAACAGGAAGGTAGACCTTACCTTGAAAAGCTACGGAATATAATAATAAAAGCGTGTCACTGTCTCTGCTACTGTGTGTGTTCTGTGCTGGTCTGTAAGCGTTGGTCGTCGCCCTTCGTTCTCGGGACGGGAGATCGAAAACGGCGACGGTATTCACGGTTCACCCTTGTAGAAGGGTGGTATCTCGCGAGAGTAACAGACGTTTGACTCGCGGGGAGAATGACTCGAGTCGATCGTCTTACCATTGAGAGGCTTTTGATTTCCGTTCGCTAGCTCGAGTTTCGCGTGCCTCTCTAAATCGTAGACGACGTTCCTTCGGCGCGTGTACTTCTTCGTTACGTAGACGTCGTATCCGGTGCCGGTTATCATGAAAAATACGACAGCGACCGTCACGCCGCTAAAGAATTTTTTAACATTGCCGTTAGAATCAAGATGCTCCTTTTTTTAATTCCATCAAAATACGAAAATACATACGACAGGATCCAGAAAACCGAATCTTCGTACATGTCGTACTTGTCGTGCTGATCTCGAACCGATTTGATCGTCGAGCTTTTCCCCGCTGATTCGCTGGTGGCTAATTTCGCGATCACCGCAACGTCCGAGGCACGACACGAGAAAGGTAAACACACTCCTAAATAGACCATTCTCGTCTGCAACAGCGTGTGAACAATGTTAGACTCCGAGTAGATGCGTCGAGATAACGGCTGTCGGAACCGAGGAGATTGTCTTAAGACTGCAACGGTGCGATAATGAGCATTGGGTGACATTACCTTGGGGGACACGGTGGCGTTCACCGAGATGGTCATCATGAAAAATCCCAATTTATACGGTGGCTTTTCCAATTTCGTTTCGGTCCAGAGATCGTTCTCGGTGAGGCCGGCGTTCTTCTTTCGCGACTCGCCGTTCGATTCATCCCCGTTGCCCGTCGACGAGTTTCGCCGCGTCCCTTTGACTTTCCTCCCATAGTCTTCGTCGATGTAGGCGCACTCGGTGGCCGAGCCGACGTAATAAGAGTTACCCCAGAAAAAGCTGTTGGTGTACCGGCCCGAGGAGTCGTCGACTGAAACAGGAAAAGACAAGATTTCGATGCGATCAGTGAATCAACGCTCCACGACTCTACGAGACCGGGGCACGCGCGCGTGGTCTCCATGTGGAACGACTTGCTGGCCGATGACCCACTTGGTGCGGAGTTGCGGGACACTTTCTCTCCGATCGACGAGTGACTATTTCCGGATCGCGATGTTTGAAATTCCGACGAGAGCTCTAACGAATCGGGTACCGGTTTGAACGTTCGCGTGGGTGCCGCAGAAGCGATCGTGTGTACCCGAGTACGTTTTTCCCTCGACCGTTTCCGTCCAACGTAGGATTCGATGTTTCGCTGATTCGATTCTGGCAAATAATATGGAATCTACCGTTCGAACGATGTCGCAAAATGAACATCGGTCGCAGGCGTTCATTAAAAACTTTTCGTAACAACCAGACGTTTGTCCATAGACGTCGATGGCAATACATAATTTTCATTACCAAAGATTACGACACGTAACGGTAGACGGGAACCTAGCGGCTCTCTAATGAGCGGCTTTCTATTCGAGAAGAAAGTAATATTATCTAATATCGCCGTCCCCGTCATCGTGGCACCGTTCGAGATCGTTTCTGAGGGATCGGCTCGTTGCGATGCGAGGCGCATAATCTAATCACCGGCAGATCCGTCGTGTCAATCGATGAACAATCGTGGTCGCAAACCGCAACGTCATCGTTATCCGTAGAAACAAATTTGTTCAGGTTCCGCCTCGAAATATTTCGTAAACGATTCTCTGCGAACGTGCCATTCGTCGACTCGACTACGTTGTTCGAATCTTCCTCCTTCTCCTCGAACGTTTCTAGGAGAAATTGCAAACACGGACCAAGAGCAAGAGTCGAAAATGAAACTGTACGACTACGAACTACATTGTTCGACGATCACTTAAAAATATTTCGAACGATCGTTACTCGCATTAGATATCGCTGATTTCACTCTCTTTCCACTCTACTCTCTCGGGACCGAGGAATTTTATTACGTCATTATCTTCCGAGGGTGGAAGATGTGGCCCGTGGAATCCGGGAGAGAGAGAGAGAGTACGATTCTTGACCTTACGTACGTCGATTCGGTCGCTACCACGGGCATTACCTGATCCATGCTTCAAGGAATCTTATTATCGATTCTGTCCGCGCAAAAGTAGAATCGTATACGCGTAATCGGTAAGATATTACAATGACAATGGATTTGGCCGGGATCTCTTACGACTCGCACGATTCACCGTTGTAGAGTCAAAGTCAAGTTCAATCTCTGTACGTGATCGGCATCCTCGTTTCCCCATTGATTCGTGAACGAATGAATGAAATCTCGTACGACAGAGATCTCGTTCATGAACTCTCGTCGACGGACCGAGCGTTTGACCGATTTGACAAACTCGTGCGAACGAATACGAGCAGTGATTTGAGATTCGTCAGTTCGCCAGGCGACTCCGGCTGCTCGGCATTGAATCGGTTGGCTCGGACGCGTAAAAAAAGTTCGCTGCACTCCCGGGACAGAGTCGCCCGCAACGGTCCTTGAATTTCATCAAGGACGTTCGCACGAGCGCAATGCTCTGTCTCAGGGTCGCAATGCTCTCTCAAACCGGTCGTGCTCGTTGCATCGTGGTCGATCTCTCATTTTCTCTTCCGAATGACTTCTTATTCTTTGTATATCGAAAGTTGGCGTCGCATCCGTCACTTCCGATCGAGGAGGCGTCAACAATGTAAAGGAGCTAGTCGTTCAGAAGATAACGCTTAATCGACTCTATCGGGTCGGTACATGTGAAAACGTCGTTTCGCTTCTCGAGTTTGGATTTTTTTAAAATCGTTTGTCCTGTCCCGTTTGATCGTTTTCGGACTGACTGACAACGGTCGTTGGATGGAAAGCGGGAAGTAACACTCCGCGTGTCGTTCGACGGTTCGAAGCGAATAACGAGAACGACGATCTTCATCGATTTATCACTGTGCATTCATCGTGACAATAGAATTCGCTTGCTTCCGATCCGTCGAACGTGCCAAGCGGCACGTTCCGAGTAGCCGGGGGAAAGCAATATGGAAAGAAAAAGGCTCTTCTTTACATAGCTGATCGTGTCGTAATATCGCTGTCCCCGTAATGGACGTGCTTGACTTTTAGACGCAGATCAGATCGGAAACATTCCAGCCACGTGTCCTTCGAGATTTTTATCCAAGCATACCTATGAATGCGAATTGGTCGTCCACTTATAATATCGTTTAAGAGAACACGTTTTCTCTCCCGAAACCGAAAGTGACACCTGTCGAATTCCTGAATCTGCGTAATGTTCCAAGGTCGAAGTCGATCCCAGAGTATTTTATAGAAAACGCCAAGTCGAAGCGTGGACGTAACCTGAGAAATGAGCAGAAAGTACAGTACATCTCCGAATTAAACGAATCTTTTCAGGTAAAAGGTAAAAAAGTGGGCAAGTTTGAGACGCCCAGCCCCTATACTGAATAGAATAAGCTAGTTTCATTATCTCATTGCATTCCATTACAGAATATTATATTGTCGATTACAGAACTTCGGATCAAGGTTTCGTTCTGTCGTAGACGTTCCGCCTGGAAATCTGAGAAACTGTCGATGAGCACGACGAAACGATCGTAGAAAATGCATTCTGTCGAAGTCGAGAACGGTTCAACGATCAGTTGCGTCACGTCACGTCATGTGACTCGGGAACAAAATCACGACGCTTCCAGCTCGCGTCTTGCACCGGCACCGGACAGACGAAGTGAAACGCACCCGCGTCACGTCTAAATGCATCGTCCTGTGCTTTCGATCGTCGCAACGATTGCGACGGTCCCTGCGTGTCAATAGTGCGTCGACCGTGCGATACCGTCGTCCCTCCGCCGCCGATCGCGTTCGCATGCACCGATGCACCTCGTAGTCATGATCGACAAGTCGATTTGGCAAGCGAAATCGATTTCTTACGACGACGACCTTTTGGCTCGCCTACTCGTCACGATCGAATCGTTCGTTTCCAACCGTCCGAGGCCTGGCTAATTTCATGTGCCGCTCGTAAACTATGAAATTTAACGTCGGCAACGACGCTGTCCCGTCGAATCGGACGACCCGGAAGGCTACGAGCCAATCTACGAAACATCGCACCATGGCGGTACGATACAAACACGTAGGAACATATTTAGGCCCATTGCACAATCCTACGAAGCGCGATCTTATACTTTCTACTCTTCGCGTGGAATATTAGTTTGTACGGGCGAACGACGCAGGGTCGAGCGAATGAAAAAGAAGAAAAAAGACAGGAACCGGCTCTCTTGGACGATCGTTCGGCCTCGTTCGCTCGCTGATCAGACCGCGGGTTTTCATGACGCGTCTACAAAACGGTTCACAATATCGAAAGCTAAATGCATGTTTCAATGTTCAACCAGATGTTTATCTGAAAGATATTTTTTAAACCGATGCCCTGAATGCTTTACTTTGCATAATGCATACTAATTGGTAGTTCGACCGCGGCATAAGTAATCACGCGGGAACATCACGTTCCATTTCGAGTCTACGTGGAAGTAAACCTGTTCATGAGGGAAAACCCGTAGAAAGTACACGAGAGAATATTTGCTCACATAATCTAGCCGAAACATCGATCAGACGTACGGAAAGTACCGAGTACGGTACCAATGTAACGGAGTGCGGGCTGAGCCGGCTGAGCGAGGCATTTCTCACGCGTCTCAACGGCAAGCGGGTGTACACACTACACACGCACCGCCGTCCACTAGTTGTCCAACTGTCTGTCAAACATTCATCGATTCGTACCGATTTGTACGAAAATGTCGAATGTGAATGGAAGGATCTCGCTATTCTCGTTGCATCTCCGTGCGAACGGATTCTCGAAGTCGTACTCATCTATTGACGATTGTCCGTCTACGTATTTGCGTATTACAGGTTACCGGAGCGCGCAAAAATGTGACGAATCGTGATCGGCCAAATAGGAAGGAAAACCGACGGGGAACGGAGGTTTCTTTATCCGTCTGCTCTCTCGTTCACGATCCGGGTTATATCATACGTTTATGAATAAAAAGAGAATAGGGATCGAAGAAAAGTGCCGTGGTTACGTGAAAGTTACATTTGCAAGCCCACCTTCCACATAATCCTTTCTCCGTCCAGACGTTTTTCTCTATCTACCGTGACGTAATTTCGATGACTGCCTCTGTGGTTTCTCCGGTTCGATCGTGTTTCTCGCGTGTGTCTTCCTCAAAACTTTCTAACGACAGCTTCGCGCGAATTACGAAGGATGTACGCGGAAGTTTCGCGTGCAATCGCGAGATCGCACAGCGTGACGACGTCGTCGAGCGAAAATCGTTCATCGATCATCGCGTCGCATCGCGGCAACATTTGGAGCAACGAAATCGTTCGGAAGCCAGGATGAGCGAATATGTCCGGTATACGTAGATGCGTGTGAAGACGAAGAAGTAGGCCGTCGTCGCGGAAACATTTCGAGTGAAAATGAAAACAACAATGGTTCGCTCGACAATGAACAGCGTTTCAAACGTCGTAACGGTACAGTTGTTCCTGACGTTGTCCTTTCCTCGCGATGCTACCTTTCACCGCGCAAATTTCAACTTCCTACGACGACGATAATGGGACAGCCGGAGGAGAAAGTGAACAAAATTAGGCTTTTCCTTCGCTCGGAAATTGGGCAGAATTTACCAGGGAAAACGTAGTTTTTCTCAGAGGATAATAAAACGCCACGACTTAATTAGATCTTGAAATTTTTACTCTCGCTCGGCCGAGAACTTCCTATTCGCTTTGCATCGTGCGAACGGGAAGCGAGCATAAACTACATCGTAAACAAAACGTACTCGTCTCTTCTCTCGTTTTCCCCGCGTTCGTTTCCTGTTGATCGGCCAGAGTCTTGTCGTTCCAACGACCCGTTTTCTCGAGTCATCTGGTACTGTTTCTCATAACGGGACGCGTCAAAGGTTACCGAGCAGCGGCTCGTTTGTTCCTCGTCAAGCCGACGATGACGACGGTTAAGCAGGGTTTATCGCCGCGTCAGACTTGGACGCGGATGAGCGACTTGTTCCCTTACGACACCGACGGGATCGTTCATTCCTTTTCCACGGACGAACGAATAAAAACATGATCACGAATTATCGCTCGCCCTCGTCCAATTAACGCCCCGAACGTTTCACGCCGCGTAAGAATTGACGGTCCATCGATCGATAACGCCTCGACGTTCTCGTGTCTTGAGAAACGGCTCGAAAACTCGTTCCGTGGGTGTGTTGAGCGACTTACGCGAATAATCCATTCTCCGTGATCTAATTTTCTCTAAAAGTAAATTGGTTGCGCAACAATTTGCTAGTGCGAACTGGTGGCACTGCCGGCTTTTCAAATTCGTTCTCCAAACGTGAGTGGCGCGCAAAATTTTTCTAGTTCCTTCATTATAATAAGATTTTACGTTATGCATGCGTTTTGTAGTTTTATTGCTCAATCTTTTTTCCCCGCGTCACGTAGGTAATTGTCGCGGACGGTCGTAAACGAGATAAACACGTGGCCACGACGAATCCTCTTGTCATCGTCGCGAGACCGTAATGAGATACATATTTTTGTATAACGCGAAGGGACGACCCTGACACGTCTCGTCCATCTTCCGCCGTTTCACTTCCGTCGGACGATGTCTACCGTTTCATAAAAAAGAAAAGAAAAAAAAAAGGATCCTGAACGGGATTGACTCTATTCTTAGGTTGTTGCGCAGAATACGTTACGTTCAGCGGCATTCTTCGCACGCGTGTCGTAATCGATTCAAAGTGTCGAGGTGTCTCAACGAGAAAATGGTAAATCTGACAGCAACGGTCCACCGCGTGAAAAATTAATTATTACGCTCGATGGATACGCACCGACTAACGTCGTCGCTGGGATTTAATTGTGATCAGGGGTGTCGCGTAACGAGCCAGACGAGAGAACCATCTATCATCGAAAGACTCGATGAAACGTGCTGAAGTAACGAGCGATTCGATTATAAAATTGCTCGATCAGATACGCTTTTCGGACGCTAAACGATACTTTGCGCGAAATCCTCGCACCGACGATGATCGTGTCGTCCGACGGATAGAGAATAGGTCGCGAAACGGTTGCGACGAATGATGGGGCAGAGGTAGGCCGGTCGACGACGCGTCTCGCGAAAAATGGCATTGACCGAGCAGCGGTGAAACGTTGAAAACTAGGGCCGTCCGACCGAGCCGTGTCCCGTTCGGTGCTACGCGTCCGTTTCATTGTGTCGCAAAAAGTGAAATTTCGCGATGAAAGTAGGCAAGCAAGCGAGCAGAGTAAACGGTACTACAAGCACCGTGGAGGAAGGCAGACGTGTTTAGAGAGAGAGAGAGAGAGAGAGAGAGAGAGGGGGGGGGGGAGAAACGTTTCTGGCAGCGCGTCCGATCGTCCACCGACTCTCGATTTCCTTCCTGTCGAAAGTGAATGAGTCGAGACCTGGTGCTTAGGAAGGCCGACCTCTCTCGCAAATAAAAACTCGCTGAATGGGAAATGAGGCGAGACTTTTATACGGATCTCATTAATCCCGTCGCTCTTTTCACCTCGTCCGGACCGATCGGTTTTAATTTATTCGCACTTTTTGTATCGGGTTGGCATGCATGAGACGTTGCTCAGTTTCTCAAGTTCGAATTCTCTCTCTAGTTTACCACGTAGCATTATCCGTCTCGTACGTCGCGCATCAAAATGGAAATAAAAACGGCTGCAGCTTTTGCGTCGCGACGGCCCTCCCTTGAATTCCAGCGGACTGACGAAATCGCAGTCGCCTCGATTTCGTTTCTATGCCCGTTATCGTCCGCGACGCTTTCTATCGACACAGTAAATTTGGGCTCCTCGACGGGACGCACCGTGGCGAGAGGAAGTGTACTCGCGGCAGTTCCGGGCGGATCGTATTTAATCGTTAAACGTTTGAAACGACCTACCTTTCAAGGCCCACCCTTCGTGCCTCTTCAGACCCTCGACGTATCTCGTGACGTCCTTCGCGCATTGTTCGCCGACAGGATACTTTCCCTCGGTCCAATTGTTGGCAAGATGACGCACGTTGAACATGTCCAGCGCCTCGGACAGAGTGGTCCATTGGTTGCCCGGGACCTCGTCGATCGACGTCCTTGCGCGTTCGGTCGTCGGGAGGTCCTTCGCAGGATTCTCGAAGACGTTTGACGAGGACGTCGTCCCGTGGATCGCGAGGACAACGACGAGGAACAAGACCCGGTTCATTGTTTCTTATGATTAGTAGTACCAGTTGTTTTCACCGAAACACCAAGGAACTCGATCGTTCAAAGAAGTCCGTCGTAAATCATGTTCCGAGAACGTACGCGAACTCCTCTCGTCCACCGAAAGATCCGTTACTCTTCACGCGCCCGCAAGCGTTTGAAGTCGAGTTTAGATATCACAGAGGATCGGATCACAGTCAACGCCGTCCCTTTTCGTTTTGAACAGAAGTCCGATGGCTCGCTGCTCGTAGTAGATACCGGTTCTCTTCCTCACTGACGTACCCGGCGGAGACCGAGGGGCCTCGAGCTCCTGATCCTCTTTCGGAGTCACGTGTATCTTCGCTACGGCATCCTCGGGTTCGTCCACGGTGTCTCTTCTCGAAGACCTATCGTCGTCGTTGACATGTCAACGAGAAACCAAGAGAGAGAGAGAAAGAGAGACCGTCCACTCTTTCACGACGATCCGAACGACTCTGGTTCAAGTGTGATGGGCGTTCTCTTCCCTGTGGTCACCTCCTCGTTTGAAGAGCGAAGAATCGCGTACAACGGCGGGACTAGTAATGGTAGAAAAATGGTTTCGCCTGATGAATATCTCGGTAGTAACGAAAGTGCGAGGAAATGGTGGGAGACAAACCTCCCCGTATCGAAGAGTGAGCGCTCGTTGCGGGCATCGTGGACAGGCGACGCGTCGCGTTCTACACCGCACATAGTTACCATAATTTCGTAGCAGTCGATGAAACGGGAGAAGCATAAAATGATTCCTTCCTTCGGCCAGGTTCTTTTCTTTCGTCGGTCACGCATAACGCGTAACGCGTCTCTACGGATAAAAGAGTAATTGGTCATGGTCAGGCTCGCTCGCGTGGAATTTCACAGAAATTGAAGAGAACGCTCGAGCCGTTGAACGTCGTGCCTCGAGCGTGATATAAAAAGACGGAAGGAGACTGAACGTGTTCGTTGAGATTAGAAAGCTTACACAAAACCAGATTACGGAATGGCCAAGGATATTTGGATAGTGGCTGACCTTTGTACAGTACCGCTCCTCCTCCTCCTCCGGCGATCTTCCTTTCGCGCAGGATATTTTTCAAAGCGAAATGTTCGTTTCTTTTTCCCTCTTGAGGTCCGATACGACGGTACGATTTTACAAAACTTGGCAAACGACGTTCGACACTTGATATCTGATTTAGCTGAACTTCGATGATGTTCGCAACGATTCTTGTGCAACGCGACCCGATGGATGCTCGATCAGTACCCGCCGTTAATAAACGTCAGAGAAAGAGGCTGTCGAAAGGTATCAGCGAACGCGATTACGCGAAATTACGAACGACGTTCCGCGTCAGCTCGCTTAACGACCAAGTCTATTTTCAGAAGTTTCACCGAGAAATTTCATACTATTAGAGGAGCCTCTTTCTCTTTCTCCGACGGAGGACTCTTGTCGGACGCTGTCATCGGCTGCTCAGTCGTGCTCAAATTTCATGTTTTCCTTTTTTCTCCCATTACGGGGGACTCTTCTTGCACACGCTCTCGCCATGCGATTTACCACGCTGATTCTACGGCGACGAGCGTCGAGCTCCTGTAATCGGTCCACGCGACCCGTCAAGAGCGGAACGTAACGTTTTCGACAGATTTTTATTTCGAGGAATTCGTGACACGCCGTGAATCGAACATACCTACCGAAAAGTAGACGCGTAGCACAGATACTCGTTCCTTGACTCATACACCGTCATTTTCTCGCGTTCATTGCTCTTCTCTAAATCTTACCAGACTCGTCGGATCTTCGAGTCGTTCGCGTCCTCGTACTTTACACCGTCGATACCGAAGATCGTAAGCGTTACACGCTGTTACGCCCGATGGGTACGTCGTTTCATTGCTGAAGTTCGAATCTTGAAACGCAGCTGCTTCTTCTCTCTTCGCCGACGAATCTGCAGTTACCTGTATGACGCTATAATCTCGTCAGCTGATCATAATAAATCGTTATAATTTAAGAACGTGTAAGGGTAGGTGATGAAATTGATATGGATCGACCTGACGTCGTGTACTGAAAACCGAGGATGAAACTCCACAGACGTTCCTCTCTTTAAATGTTTAGGATCCAGCGATTTTTATACCGGATTTCTCTTTCGTTCGCGCGTCGGATATTTGCTCCGTGACATAAAGCCTGTCAGAGAAGTGAAACTGGTCAACAGCAAACCTGGTTATTTTCTTAGAAATGGCAAGGAAGAAGAGTTTCTCTCGAAGACATGTCCGTGCGAGATCGGGAAGCGTCGGAATTCATAGATAAAACGATTTGTCGACCGATCCGAAGGCCTTTCCCGCGGTTGACCTTCCCCTACGAATTATGGCCAGCCTCTCTTTCACCTTCGTCGTTGATCGCCACGCTTTCGTTGCAAAACCTTACTTACCTTTACCTTCGCAGAGGCAGCTGACACAATGATACGCTCGCCCTGCCAGAAGTGTAACGCTCCTTCTGCTCCGCGATGAGTACGATTCAAGGTGAAACGCTAAAGAAGAAACCGGCTTCACGAGCTTGAACGTACTCCCGAGAATAAAACACGCGATAAAAGGAAATACAATGATTCGGCAAATTTCAGTGATCATCGCCGAATAATTATTTCCAGAATTGATGTTATCTGTCGAACAAGTAAATTGACGAAGTATCTGTCGATTGTTTATATGCGTCGTTGTCTGTGTTCAGGAAGCGTTCACGGTCGTTTTTCTGCGTTTAAATTTTTAGAATGATACGCTCGGGACTCGCGAGCCACGCTCTTTCCACAAGTCTCTTACGTAAGGTCGCTGTTTCTCAATCGCGAACGGTGTCTCTGACTTCTGCGAGTAACGCTGATCCGCAATTAACCGATGCAAAACAATCTGCGATTATCTCGTTGTCGAGCTACTTTGCTTTTTTCCACTTCCTCAATGGGTGAACTATTCTCAGCAGAGAGACCACGGGGGCCTCGAAGAGCAGGCTGATGATCAACGAGGCCGCGTACGTTGCTACCGTAAATCCCAGGAACAGAATCGCCTGGAAAAGAATATTTCGAAATGTTTGTAAACGGTCGCTGGTACATCTCGCACATAAATAACGATGGTCAGCGGCGTGACGTTGAACTCTGTCATTGTTTGCGACGGCGGACGCTTTCTCTCAATGAAGAGTGAAAGGGGAAGCAAGAAACGAGGAGTGGTGGTGGTGGTGGTGCGGAGGGTACGGTTGAAGAGGAGATCGGTGGAAGCATTGAAAGAGTCGAGATCTGACGGAGCGTTCGTTAAATAAAACGACTCGACCCGATCGGTAATTCGATCGCCCGATCGTCAGTCAATGATAAATTACCATGAGTCCTCTCGTGAGGTGTATGGAAGATTCGCCGTGCAACACGACCGCCCTTATGATCGCGGGATGCACCAAATACGCGCAATAACTTAGTCTCGAGAGGGGGTACAGACCTGGCCAGGACAGTATCTTGTTTATCAAACCTGGAAAATGGAATACGTTGCGAGATGATCGTCGAGAAACGAAAGGAGGATTCTCGTGCTACCTACGTCCATGTCCCGTGACGCAAGCGATCAAGATCCATCCTATGGAAACGGCCCATCCGGAATGCGATAACGCGGTGTACAACGCGGAGACGAATGGGCTGAACGTGTTCCCGTACACTCCGTAGACGATGCTCAGCATCGCGACGAAAGAAAAGAGCCAAAGCACTGAAGCGACCGTCTGCAATAATTAAATACACGTCCCGATCGTCGAGCGGTTAAAAGACGGCGAAAATGCAGTTTTTCGCAGGACGAATCGATCGTCTTCTCAGACCGATTTCCTTAAAAGCTGTTACGCAGTAGTCGAATCGCTCGTCGATGGACAATTAAGATCAGTCCCTTACTCTTACTCGCGACGGGCATGCAGTTCATGTTTAGAACGTATTAAGGCTTTCTAAAAGCATTCGATGCAAAATCCAGCGTGTTATGCAACTACTTTCGCTACGTGACTGGACGATACTTACTTTGCTGATTTTCATTTCACAATCGGTTTTGTACAGATACCATCCTGCCATCATTCCCAGAAGATACGGTCCGATCCTCGACCAGGGCTTGTCGTACAAGCTCTCGTAGCGAGCAAACGGATCTTGAACGCTACATTCATTTTCGATCTCAAATCTGTTCGTTATTCTCGCATTCGCTGAACGTCGCCTGACAAATTTTACCTGACTACGTGCTCCAATTTCAAAGAGACGGCGACTGTGGTCGTCCAGGAGCCGATCAACAGGCAGAGCGTGATGATCGCGGCTGTCGATAGGAACCTACGAGATACGCACTTTGAAGATGTTAGCCCTTCCAAAGTAAAGGACGTTCACTGGACGTACCTTGCTCCAACGATAAGAATAATTGTTCCGATGATATAAAACAGTGTATCGTTCGCTAAATACCAGCTCCAGACAATACACTGTCGCAACAGACGATCGTTAAATGTGACATCTGAACGGGGTACGGCCAGTGAGATTGTTTACTTACTCGTTCGTCCATCGCGAAATACGTATTAATGTAAAGAGCATTGCGCCACCAAAATTTCCTACAATTCTGGTAGTCCAGAGCGTACAGATCGAGCATCGTGTGGTCATAGTACCAAGAGGACGTTACCTCGATGAGACCGATGACCAGGAGGTAAACGGGGGTCAGTCGAAAGTACCGGTACCACACCATACCCAGAAACTGAAGCACCTCGCCGCAGGCTCCCCTTATGATCTTCTTCTTCTTCATCCCGTCTCTGGTGATCGTACGGAAGTACAGAAAGGACACTAAGCATCCGCTGAAACGAAGATTCGTCGATGAACCAGACGAAGCGTAATCGCTGTCCGATCGGTGTCCAACGGCGTCACTGTCTGGCGTTACCTCATAAAGAAGAACGTGTCGACGGAATAAGTGCTGTTGCTAATAGTCTGGTAGAGGAAATTGTTCTCTGCCTTCGACTTGAAAGTTTTGATTTCTGAAACAACGGAGAACGCGTGACAGCGTCGTCGACGAGCGGATACGAGAGACGATGGAACGACCGGCGTACCAGAAACTACGTTCACGGTCAAACAGGTGTGAACGAGAATGATCCACAGCATCGACAGAAATCGTAAGCCGTGAATGGGAGCCAAAGTGTCGGCGCCGACGTCGAGGCTGAAGACTTTCGAGAGATTTAACAACAGGCTGAACGACAACAATGCCTCCGAGAAAGGTCTCGGCGCACTGTTCGAGTTATGCACGTCTGAAACCGTTAGAATTGTTCAAGCCTCGATTGGCCCGCGATCGACCACGACTTTACGGCATAAAATATCATGAGTACCGCTGGAACCGTTGTGCTCTCGCACCGACCATATCTTTTTCATCGTGATCTTCCCATCGGCCGTTTCCGCGTGATTCAGGATCTTCAGTTCCGTCGTGTTGTCCATACTCGAACTTGTCTGCTCGGTCTGCAATATTCGATATCGAAGGGAAACGTCGTACAAAGTGCCCAGGATCACGAGAACGGTGACTATAACGAACGCGACTCTGCAAGTCAATCATCTTTTTGTAAACCGTCGCTCCTACGCGCCTCCGTTACCCAACCTTTCTCTTTCGAGATTACAGGTATCGGACTCGATAGAAAGGACCGAGCACGTACGATAAAATGTGAAATATAGGGTCTTCCCAAAACGAATATCCCCTGGACAGATTCCTGATCGTTCCGATCGTCATCCTCACTGATGAATCGTCCCTGCGTTGATCTTCGACCAAGCGCAAGAGCTTCTCGACGTCGTCGACGCCGCACGCGTCGGGCAGACACAGACCGAAGATAATTCTGTAAGTCTGAATCGTCGAGGAAGTGAATCGCGAGTCGAAGGGGAAGTCGATGTTCCGTAATTACATGTAGAAAAATTACTTCATTTGACGTGAATCGGCGAACGTTCAGATTGACGGTGGCGGACGACATGCCGACCGGAAACGGTGGTGTGTTCTCTTCGCGTTTCGATTTCGTTTTCTGCCACTCGATAAATTGTTCTTCCATATCCCGACATTGGTCCACGGCACCCACCCAAAATACGTTTCCGGAGGATAAACCCCACGTGTATCTGCCGGTCGCGTCCGTCACTGAAAAAGTACATTTCGTGTAAAACATGGTTCTCAGCGTTTCGTAGCTTTCGACCATTCGAATATCTGCTGTATTGTTCTTTTTCTGGAAAGCAGTTAGACCGTTGCATAAAACGAAAGCAGTTACAGTGTTCCGTGACTAGAATACAATGTTTCTTTCTGAATGTTGCTTCCTGAACTGGCGCGTGCACTTGTTGTTACGGCATTCGAGCTTTACGCAATTACATGCACCGAAACGATTCTTGTTCTTGCACGCGATGATGCAACCCGTGATTCTAGTGAAAAATTTATTAATCATACCAGAAAAGTTCACTTTCCCGGCTGACTAGAAAGAACAATGTATCCGACTTTCATCTTTCGCTCTACTGGGCGTACTGGGCCTTCGACTAATCGCGAGACGCGCTTCGAACGTGAATCAGACCCGTGTCTATGATCTTTAAAATCGAGTTTCATCCGTTTATAATAATAATGATAATTTAGCGTATTATAAAAATCAAACTTTCGAGGAAAGTGTCATCTGTCAACGTGAAACCGGATCCAAAGTACTCACTCGTAATTACTTCCTGTACTCTCACTGAACAAACTCTTCCTCGTTCCACGAGTGAGAACTATAATAATTACTGACCAATTAAAATCACTAGCGAAGTCTCGATTAAATACCGTGATCCACATAAAGAGAATCTTACGAGAACTCTACGTATGGAATTCGCACACTTCCATATCAAATCTGTACATAGCAAATAATCAATAATTCATCCACGAATAATACTCGGACCACGGATTCTTACGCAGTTCTCTTGAGATCATTTAAGCATTGCAACGTACACTTACTCACCCCGCTGTACATTTTCTTTCATAGATTCGTACGATAGATCGACCCGACGAATCTACAGTACGAATTTTATAATCTTTCGTTTCATTTTCTTTCATTTGATTTCACTTACTCTTCAATGCCCATTCTTCCCCCAACGACAAGCCCGTCATGTAATTCGTCATGTCTGCTTCGCAATCAATTGAAAGGTTTAATGATCCGCGATTCCAGAGCTTCGTTAGTACGTGCAAGTTCCAAATATTTAACTCGTCTAAATGTAACATGGTGCGATCGGTCAAAGTCGCGTTTGAAACTATCTCGTCGGCCGAATACTTTTCCAAAGAAATAGTACGATTAATTTTCGAAACGTTGTTCATTGGCTTTAACTCGTTGCCGTCGAACTGCACGCTCCCTTCGCTCGACTTTAAACCGTCCGCTGACCAGCACGCGAAAATCAGAATGGACGTATAAATTTTTAGGAACATGATCGACTGATTTCAAATGTATCACTGTTCTCTTAATTCTTCTACGTTTAACGATCACCGTTACAGCGACTGGTGGAAGAGTTTTTGACTTTACGAACCGATCAAAGACGCTGCTCTTATAGTCACTGTAACTACTGATTAAGGTGCATGATCAGATATACTCCGTTTCCCGCCTCCCACTTTACCTTGATTCCATCCACTGCACGTGTTGTAGCGATCGTACGTTCTTTAAACTTTGAAATCTGTCGCATTCGGTAACATATTACTATCCACTTTCTTTCCGCTATTTGTACGCGTAACAGGAACATACGTATATCTCTCATGGAACGGTTTCTTACACAATACGCGCGACATTGTTTTAATCGCGAACCCGTTCCGCGTCGTTAAAATATACCGCAATAAAATGATTTGAATATAGCTGACGGTGAATGCGAATTGTTTAATTTAAACATGTCCTATGGAGCATGCGCCCATAGAGTTAGTATAGATATACTAACTCTATGCATGCGCCTCGGCACATTCGTCGGTCTTTTCATATTCCGACCATTCCACCACATTCAACTATTTTCACTTTGCGTCGCACGCCATCGCATGCGGAGCGATACAAATGGTACGCTGACCCAGCGTTACCAGATTTTTACCCACGACGCTCGCTTCCCCTGTTTTTCGCCCGTATTTCGATCCCCACTACTATTCCCCTCATGCGTGCTCATGCGCGTTCGCGAAGCTCTCCGCAGCGTTATGGTCCCCACCATGGTCGCGTCGTCCCCACTTTGCGGCCTTGGGTAAAAATCTGGTAACGCTGCCGGCTGACCTCAAACGATTTTGGAGTTGTACGTGGCGCCATCTCGATTTCAAATAAAGCCCTATTTAAAAACTACCGAATTTTAATTATTATAACTTATCAATGTATAATTCATTAATTATTTTCATGCTGTTATATTTTTTAATTGTAAGCAAGTCGTATTTGGATGATTAATTGACAAAGTTTTATTTTACAAAGGTGACGGTAAAATGAAAAATATCATTTTCCTTCAATGTAAAAATATATTCAAAACTTTAATACTTATCCATTAGATTACATAAAAGAATAATTATGAGTGTATTTATGTACATAATATAATGTAAAAATAATACTCAAGATTAAATACGACTAAAATGTTGAAGAGACTTCCGGTTATTTTGAATGTACTATTTACAAATGCAGCGAAATTATATTACGGGAAAGGAAAAAAATTGTACTGACCGGTCTTCTATAAAATTAAATTTTCGCGCATACATCGTATCATTGTACAAATTACACTTAATCAGGTATACAAGAGCTTAAACATTATAATCATCATTAGCATTCATAGATTTCAGATCCCTCTGTTTTAATTTAACATATTCTCCTCGTACAGGAATATTCGGATCCATTGAAACAGCATTCGCTACTTCCTGTCCTGACAGATACATATTAGTTTTAATCAACAATACCTCAGTTGTATCCTCTTTCGTTAAATTTTTGTTTAATTTTACGTTTAGTTTATTCGGTATTCCATTTTTGTCAGAACATATATCGCGATTGTCGTTAATCGTTAAATTTTTTATAAAATATCCGGATTTCTCATTTTTTATATCACTCGCAACTTTGGTATTGGTTTCTTCAACTTGAACATCTATTTCCCGTTTCTCACGTTCGTGTTTCTCTAATATGTCTCTATGAATTACTTGAACCTCATCCTCGAATTCATGCTTGTCTACTTGTACCGTGTTCTCTGCATTCGTTTGATTTCGCATTTTTAACGCAATCGGTAGAGAATATTCATGTTGCAGCTTCTCGATTTTCGATTTCGACTTTTCTTCTAAATTAGAAATTGCAGCTGTAGAATTATCTTTGTACACGACTTTTTCAATTCGGTCATTTAGTCCAATGGAACTGTTAGAAATAGACCTCTGTATCACTCGTTTTGTTAAAGCACTTAAAATAGGCCCTTTAGGTAATTCATTCGAATTATTTACACTCTTTTTCATTTCTTTAACATGTCCGTTATCTACTTTATTGTCAAACAACAATTTATTTGTATTGATCTGTTCTTTCTTTATATTTGTCTTATTAGAAGAAACAAGACCTTCTCTGTGCTGCTGCCTTGATAGTTCATTGTCATTAATATTTACATTCGGTAAATTCTCCTTTACTCGCAGAATAAACTTCTCGTTAAGAGCGTTTGATTCTCCTTCACCCTTCTTTACCTCCTCCTTCATATCTTTTATGATACTTTGCTTTTCTTTCTCAATTTCGTTTTTTTGCAGTTTCAGATCTTTCAATATCTCTTTCTGTTCCTCCATCATTTGCAACTGCTCTTGTTTGTGTTTCTCTAAAGTTTGTCTCAGTTTCTCATGCCTCTCTACAGCCAATAAATTAGCAGATTCAGCATCGGCAGCCAATTCTGTTTCTTCTTTCTTAATAGCGTCTGAATTTATAAGATTGTCATTTTTCTTTAAATCCACGAAATTCTTTTCCACCTTCTCAGCATCGATTTCGTCCTTTTTCTTAGTAACCGATTCAATCGTTATAATTTCATTTTTTACGATATCCTTTGATTGTTTACCAAGATTTTCATGTACGGTCTTTATTTCAATCGCTGTTTCTTTAATAAGTGGAGCAAGCGTGATCAATATATTATCAACTGACTTTTGCGTCTCTACGTTGGACTTCTCTGTGACAACTATGCGTTCAACTGGTATCGGCGGTTCTTGTCGCATATCGTTTCCTTGGAGATTCAACGAATTGTCGGGAACATTCAACTCTGGTAATTTCTCTATTGTATCTAGAAGCAAGTAATGCGACCGTTATTATATACAATCCGAAAAAGGTACAAGCAAAGAGTACGTGAATTAATACCTCTTATACTTGAAACAATTTTTGGATTCTTAGGAATGCTTGCTATCCCATTAATATCATTTTTCAAGTTTACCGATAGACTATTTATTTCGTTAAAAGATTTGCTCGTTGTTGTTAATATTTTTATCGTAGTGGATTTCTCCAGTGCATACAAGTTTGCATATGTACTCAGGATCATTATGCAAATACCGATAAATAAGATTACCTGCACATAAGTCGAAAAAAGTAGTAAGAAAGATATTAAGTAAATAAATTCAGTAATTTACAATCAACACTATTTTCTTGAAATTTATACTTGGGCTAATAATCTTTCATTGGTGTGCTTGCTGCTTATGGAGATGAAAAATATTGCAGGAAGTATCAAGCATATCATTACTCCGATTGTAGAACCGACTAAGCCCAGAACAAATTCTATATTTGGTATCATTATCCCAGTAATTAGAGAAACAATTACAATTATGATAGTAAGACATCTAAATCTTGTTTCTGGCAAGTAAGTAATGGAAGGCTCGTGAGTGTACATCTGAAATAAATTACACATGAATCAAGTAAAAATTATGTTATACCGATCAGTATCACAGTTCAGTATTATAATAATACATAATACAAACCCTGCGGAACAAGAGAGAGTTTAAACTTGCACGGCATGGAAAAATGACTAGAGGAAAACTAAACGCAATGGAAAATACAAATCCCATTTTAATCATTTCAGATGACAAACTAGGCTTGAAACTCATTAATATGTTCCCTATAAATATAATAAAAAAAATAAGTAAAACAGCAAACAGAGGTTTGAAATGAAATAACTACCTGTGAATGGTTGGGTGCAAAATGCAATGTAGCCGAAGAACCCAACGCAAAGATACACGCTAGTGCATATGTTTAATGCACCTCGTACGACTTGGTTCATCTTCTCTAACGAAACATTTGGAATGGTTTCATAAATTTCAAATAATTGCGTTTGACAGAACAGTGCCATAGAAAAGATAGGCACACACTGAAGTATACCTGATGGTCTCCAATAATAAACATTTTCATACCAATCCCCAGCAAAAATGCGTGGTATAGATTCTGTTATTATCTACCAAAAACAAAAAGTCTAATTAAATTACAACTAACGCGCTTGAAATCCTCATTCTAAGCAAAAACTAAATGCATATCATTTACCTTCAACACAAGGCAAAAGTAAAAGATAATGGTAGCAGTACAAAGACTAGACAGACTGTCAATATTTTTAAGTAGTCCCAATGGCAAAACTATGAAAACACTTGTTGTTACAAGCAAACTGGTCCTAATGTTCTCTGGATTTTTATCTATCACTTTTCCCACAATTTGTGGTCCTAGGTCGCCCATAACAACAAAGAAAGCAATGCATGTCCCCACGAGAAAACCAATTATAAATAATTCGACCAAGATTTTGCCCATGTGGCCAAAGGCATGAAAAGCCAGAAGCTCGAAGTTGCGTCTTCTCGACATAACAGCTGACTTGATAAGAAAGTGAGAAGCGAGTCTGGATAAAATGCTACTCAACAGTAAAACTAACGTAGCTAGGACAATACCGCATTGCTTGAAGCAAAACGGCATTGCGAGAACGCTTACTCCAATAATGCTGTTTGCCAGAGTCATAACGTGAGACAATTGAGAAATCATTTTGGCACTTTCGTGTGTCTTCAACGAAGCTAATAAATATCTGTTGCTTGAAATATATGTAGTTATATAGCTTCGATTTCTATCTTTCAGTGTTTTTCAATGTTTTTTTTTCTCGAATTAATGTTGAACAAATAGTGATGCTGTGACATTTAACGAATGGTTTAACACATTTTATATTATATACGAATAACCGATGTCTGTATGCTGCCTTCATATATTATTAATACGTAAACAACTGTTTTTATTATTAGGTTAAATTTGAAGTTCCGTTAACGAGGATCGTGTAACCAACTGCATTACGTGTAAAACAAATAACATAATTCGTTTTCATGTTGCACGTATCAAGATCGCAATTCATACGTCACACACTTGATAAAACGCATTTCGTGCAACGACAATTGTAAAATACCATCGAGCCTTCTTCTGTCGGCTCGTTAAAACTGTCACCATTTTGACAGGATAAAACATCTGTACAATCCGCTGTACTTACTCCCCCACAGCAGATACTGATATCGAAGAAGAAATTTCTTCTCTGATGACAAGTATAAAGGATGAAGTATGTAAATTCATAAAGCACGCGTCGTAAGTTTCTTTATTTTTTATTATAAATATTTAAAAACATTTTGTGTTACTCATTTTTAGACATACATATATAAATATATACATGCAATGTATGTAACTATATATATTTATATACACACACATATATATTTATATGAATTACTTAAATCTGCGTCAAGTCGACTTGTTAGATATATTTACGGAAATATTATATCGAATTTGTCTCTGTGTTCTGGGTAATTAATTACAGTAAAGGTATGTGTTTAATTACAACTAGATCCGGCATCGTTAAATTTGTTTTTTTCCAAGTAGTTTCGAAGCGCGAAAAGTGAGACTTTATGTATGTACACAAAATTAATATATATATATACACATATACATATATATATGTATATATACATATTCTCATGGAAATTAAACTAACATAGTTAAAGGGCTAACGAGTTTTATCCTTTCCCCAATCGTTCTGTTCACTATTTGTTTTTCAACTCGATCACCACAGATAGAAATCGGTTTAGTCATATACTCAATTTTTCGAGTTCTTAATCTCTTATCCTTAATTAATATAGGATTTAAGAATCTACACTGAAATTTCATGCATTCATTGACTATTCTGATTCCTGTCGCATCTCCTCCTTTGCTGATCGTTTAATTTCGCATGTATAAAATAAAATGCTTTATATATATATAAAAAAGAATATCATTATATTGTTATTACAGTACTGCATGTAGGATATTGTTAAAATATGATTTTACTTTTATGTACAAGAGTAGGAAACAAAAAGAAATCTATGATTGATTGATAATACTAATTCATTGTACAATCGCGTTTTCCTCAAACTATATCTCAATTACTCTAATTGAACGGCTCGAACAAATTTACGTGATGAGTAATGAACAGCTAATTCACAACGTATTATCATTATTAGTTGTATAATTTATCGGGACGTACTAATAATAAATTTGACATATTGATAAGTTATTTATATCTTATGATCTTGGTGATAATTAACTCTGAGAAATGTAGGTTTTCAGTCGATGCGTATGCAGCACGCCGTCAGACACATTTCTTCATCTCATTTGACTAGTCAAATTTGTCAATCCTAAATTAATGCGAAGATCTTGTGATCAGATCATAAGATATTACTTATCTCACATATGATTCACATAATTTGAGAAAAATTGAAAAATCTATTATCCGGTAAGTTAGTCATTAAAAAGTGTTAGATAATACTTTTAATGAAACAAAAAAAAAAAATAAAAATAATAATAAAAATTGCTCATCGTCTGCGGTGTAGATTACACGCTTGAATATGTGTATAACTATGTAAAAGTTACGCTTGCCTCGAGTCCGATCGATAATATAACCACCACTGTCTCTTTATTGATAGTACGCATTTTTTAATTATTATCATTATTATACCAATCATAGTAATTATTTAAAATCAAATTTCGAATTCGAGGCAACGAACGTCTGTATATCGTAATTTTATTGACTTAAGTTACCTACGCTTATCTATGCTTGATTTAAATAAGAATCTTTTCCATTTTTGTTTCAGAAAGAAAAATTATCTATCAGGGATTCGCACCGGCGTCTTTCTTTGTTTCCTCATTAGTGACATTTGTTTTTTCATCTTTTTCGTTTTCTGCAATAGATCAAACATGGTTAACACACGTGTAAAGTTACAACAAACAAAATAAAGAAACAACGTATCTTTCAAATTGCAAAGCCAACTTGTATCTACATATACCTTTTGGTTCGGATTTTATATCCTCTTCCTTCTTTAGATCACCTTCCATACCCTCTTGTCCCTTTTCTAGGCGAGGTCGTTTTCTAGAACCCTTTAGGTAAAGAGAGAAACGTCAGTTACATATGAGAATAATTCAGTAAAAAAATGAACAAAATTTGTGTGTCAGAAAAGGAAAGTGTGTAACAGTGGAGATCTATATAGAAACAAAGAACGTTACCTTAAATGATCTATTATCTCTACGTCCACCTTCACCCTCGTCTTCGCTATCACTATATTCGTTCTCGTGTTGTATCCTCTTGTCTAAATCCCGCTGTGGTAATCTTTCATCAGGATTTAATTTTTCCTCGGCTTCAGAATCCTCGATAACTGCACCGTCTTCTGGAATCGGTTGAACCTGTACGCCCGGTGCGTGAGGTAACATTCTTAGGTTCTCAAATAATCTAGTCCTGCAAGTAACAGAAGACATATATGATAGCCGAAGGCCGATTTAAGAGGAATGATTAAATACTAGTTGATACGCGAATGAAACATACTTAATCTTTTCAAGATATTCAGGAGTATTCTGGTTTGCCATATTTGAGGGACTAATGTGCAGTTTGAAGTCAGGCCCGAAATACTCGAAGTAATCATTGTAAGGTAGTTCGTTTGCGATTTCAGAGCCGAGGGCTACCGAAGTTTCGTATGTCCAGCATCTAGATACATTCCTAATCGTGTATCCACCGCCTCCAACCATTAAGAAAGGTAAGTTATATTTTTTTACAAACTCGACGCATTTTCCATGACCTCTTACTGTCAAATTGAAACAACCTAACCGATCACCTGTAAAGAATAATGTTTGAATATATTTAGTACTCTTACTCTATTTTGTCCCTGATATTTCTATAACCGTGTCTTCGTATGTAATACCTGTTAATGAATCAGCACCACATTGAAGGACCACTGCGGAGGGTTGGAAAGTTTCCATTACTTTTGAAATAATGGGTACGAATATTGACTCATAGCTTTCATCATCCATACCATCTCTTAGTGGTATGTTAACTGCATAATACTTTCCCTAAAGAGAATCCTAAGTTAGTATACAACATAACGTATACAAAATGAAATCAAATTCTAAAAGTAATTGTTACCTTTCCTGCCCCAATATCTCTTAGGTCGCCAGTACCAGGGAAATATTCGCCGTATTTATGAAAGGAAACGGTCATGACTCTGTCTGTTGTATAAAAGGCTTCTTCTACACCATCACCGTGATGAACGTCGATATCGATATATAAAACTCTTTGATGATACTTGAGCAGTTCCAATATCCCTAATACAATGTCATTTACGTAGCAGAAACCGGACGCCTCACTCTTTTTGGCATGATGTAAACCACCGCCCCAGTTTATGCAAATTTCTGAGGCCTGCTTGTTTAATTTCACAGCAGCAGCTACTGACCCTCCAGCTGATAATTGACAGAACTCATACAGACCGTCGAAAACAGGACAATCTTCCCCCACATTAACTAAAGAGAAAACAATGAAATTATTAATTCCCAACCCAAGTATCATTTATAGTAAAATTTGTAGAAATAAGACTGTGTGTGATCTTACAGCGTTGCATTTGTTTGTTATATTCAGACATGTTATCAGGTCTGATAGATCTCAGGAACCTAATATAGTCGTCGCTATGAAATTTTGTCATTTCATCCGCAGTAGCTTTATGTGGACGCTAAAAAAAAAATTATGATCGTCTTAAATATTGTATAAGGATATTGACACGATAAACAGCGATGCATCGAAAGATATATCTTACATATATTTCCATTTTCCTGTAAAGACCATAATTGAGAAGTAAATTATGTGTCATCCTTATACGATGTGGTTTCATTGGATGTCCTTGCCCATAGTAGTAATTCCCAATATCACCTAAAGCAACATTTTTTAAATCCATCATTCAACTTTGTCAATGTTATAAATTTTATTATCTACATAAAGTTAAGTTTAATGTGTCGTGAATTCAGATTGAAACATGGTACCATGGGTACCACTACGGTACGGGCAACCGAAGTACATTTGAGAATCTCTAGCTTAACTTACTCAAAAAACGTATTATCCTTTATGTATCTGACTCAAACATCATTAACACTTTAAAATCTATGAAAATCTTCAGATATATCAATGAACTTGTATGATTACATTCAAGTAAGCAAGAATTTTTAAGAAGTTTCTCGTAGTACTTTCATAACCTAAAAGGATCTTTTTTCGTTTAAAATATTGAAAATCGCCTATTCATAATTAAAGAATAGTATCGTAAAAGCATAAAATCAGCGTAAGAAATGTAATTAGAATACATATATGCATAAAATGATATGTAATTACGATAACAAGTGTGCTGTTCATAAATCATTCGTATTTGATTATTACAAGCAAGTAAAGGCAACGGGATGAAACGTTTATATTGGATAATAATTACACAGAAACAAAAAGGAAGAGAAGAAAAAGTAAAATTCGTTCGGCTAAATGAATGGTAACTATCGACATGAATCGTAAAAAGCCGACGCTGTTTCTTCGTTCAAGTAGGGTAGCGCGGAGCGTCACTTGTGAATCTCTCGTCTTAACGCGTCTAAAACTGTGCATCGAGCTAGACAAAACATGAGAATAAGTGGGTATCGTCTGAGAAAGGTATATGTTTCACGTACGAATAAATATGACGACTGAAAACTGTGAAAGAGACAGAGGTAAACATGAAATAAACGTAAAATGTACGACACCAACGCGAATAGCACAAACACATTTTGACAATCACCCCGTGCGTGTACAGTTTTCGCGGGATCTTAAATTTACAATTAAATATCTATGAATTTTTTCACTCACTGTCGTAGTAGTAGCAGACACGCTTCTTGCTGTGAGGTAAGGTCGACATTTTCACCAATTTCCTTTCGTTAAATAGTAAAATATCTGATATGAATCAAACGCGGACCGCGGAGTGTCGGAGTATCGCGGTACCCACCGACAGGACACAGCGTCACTAAATTTCTCAACTGCGCGTGTGCAATATTCCGTTACCGAGCTTTCAATTATGTCTTATAGATGGCCCTTCTATAGAAAATAAAAAGAATGCGAACTTGACCATAAAGTGAATGAAGGCAGAGATGAAGACCAGTGATGTAAGATTTGCGGAATTTCGATCGCCGCGCGTATGGTGAGGAAAAGTGGAACTAAAAGTCTTGATGTAAGATTTGCGGATTTTTCCGCCCATAGCGTAGACCCAGTCTAGAATGCTAGCTGTTATGTCTTAGCTTTAAAGTTTGAACCTAGCCGCGCGCGTAATTTGAACGGCGTACCACTACACGCGTAATTTTTCCGTATACGTGTATCAGGTAAACGGCAAGACCCAAACTGCAAACCTGCCCTTTAAATGCTCGTGCCTCGTGGATCCTTCGATGACCAGCAAACGCTTTCGCTTCTACTCCTTCATTTTCGCGTAAAGCGGTGCAAACGAGTCACGCTCAGCGATTGCACGTGCATATGCTATACGACGGCAAATGATAATTTTTTTTTAATGGCCATAAACATTTCAATGAATTTAACGAGATAACTGTATGTACTTTATA